GCGCAAGCGACAGGAAACGCGCATGCTCGCTAAAGGCGCGCAACAGTCGCTCTGTGCTCGCGCCACAGGAGAAGTATGGAGAGCGTGAACGATCAAATGAACCTGACAACAGCCAGAAATGATAGCCTATATGGAGAAAGGGAGAAATCTGGATGGATGGATGGATGGATGGATGGATGGATGGATGGATGGATGGATGGATGGATGGATGGATGGATGCTCTGCCTTCTCAACCTACTGTATTTTTTATTTTAAACATTATTTGATGGCCTTTGTGGCAGGGATGGAGATCCATATTTTATGTCACACACAGAGTATACATCTAGATAGATAGATAGATAGATAGATAGATAGATAGATAGATAGATAGATAGATAGATAGATAGATAGATAGATAGATAGATAGATAGATAGATAGATAGATAGATAGATAGATAGATAGATAGATAGATAGATAGATAGATAGATAGATAGATGTTGCAGTATCTATAACAACCCAAACACACAGGATTTCAGAATTAGACATCCCCAGTTATTAATTTCATATACTCACCAGATCTGAATGTCCTGTTATAAAACTTCACATCGCGTTCCCCCTGATGTCATTTACGTTGAGTTGCAATAACTGCTAAACTCTCTGCAGGTTCTTGTCTTTGTCGTCCTCTCTATTCAGCTGGCTTTGGAAACACACGGCGAGAAGGTGGGGGCTGGGTGGTGAGGTTTACGGGGGCGAGAAACGCAAAAGTAACGCAATAGTTACTTTTACTAGTAACTAGTTACTTTTATTGTGGAGTAACTCAGTTAGTAACTCAGTTACTTTTTGGGAGAAGTAACTAGTAACTATAACTAATTACTTTTTCAAAGTAACGTGCCCAACACTGATGATATCAGCACCAATTAATGTTGGTGCTGTTATTATTATTACCGGTATTTTTATTTTTTTTTAGATTTAATTTAGCTCTCTATTTGATAGCTATTTAAATTTTACCAGCAGTCTCCTTTTACCCTATCCTCTTCTGTCTCTTTCCAGAGAAACATATAATATAATCCTAATATAGTCCCAAAACTTAACACCACCTACTGTTGGATTGATTCTGCAACTGTCCCTTTATTTGGCTTTTTAAACTGTTTTATAGCAAATAGCTTGCCATACTGGGGTTTGTTGACATGTTACATCAGAAAGCAGAGGAATGCTTAGCTCATAGTCTCACATAACATTCTTTAAGGCTATGTAAATATAAGCAGCTTTCCAAATGAAGTTTAACAAAATTTTAAAAACAACCTTTTATTTTTTTATGACATACCAGAATGTATACAACATCAATTTCAGAAATCTGATGAGCTTTAAGTGGGACATATACTGCTGAGGATAGTGGTGATGGAAGTGCTTGTGGTAGCCACACATAGGTGATCTTCAGGTATACTAACCGAAGAACCCTTTAACCCTTTTCCAAGTAAACAGTTGTCCCGAAAATATTAGCTAATTCCAAATGCAATATTTGGACTAAATAGCTAGGTGTAAAATGTAATTGTTCCTTTCACCAGTTACATGACATTTCAGAGGTGGCATCGCTGTTACGTCGCATACGAACTGGAGACCAGCCAAATTCAGACAGAGCATCGTCTGGCTGCTGGAGGCGTCCTAAACGAAAGCTTTGTCTGGAACCACGTCTAGACGTCCATGTACGAGGCTTTGGATTCATCTGGAAACATTTAGAGGGTCAAGTAAAAAATTAAAATGTAAAACACACTAGGTTTGATGTGGTTCTGTGTGATTGAATAAATTCAAACTGCATTCAAACTGATAAAAAAGAATGTGAATCCAATCTGTTTCCTACCTGGATAAAAACCGCTGTGTTCATGTGAAGAGTCTCAACTCGATCTGAAAGGTGATTTAGCCATTCCAGGTGGTCACTGATACACTGGCTCAGATCACTGTGGGTCTGTTTTCGAAGATTAAAAAAGAAATTTTGAGTTTAGCATCACTAAAATTTAGTTTGAGATTTTGATTATAGATGAGGGTTTAAAGGGACGCACCGCAGACATATTGTTCTTCACTTCAGATGCAGCAAGACGGATGTGCTCCAGTTTATCAATTTGTTCCTTCAGTCGATCATCGAGCTCCTGCATCATCATCAGGCCCTCGTCTGCTCTGACAGTGGTCATCCTGAGGCTTGGAAAAGTTATTGGCTATTTAAAAAGGAACACAACCTGTTTGTTTTTGGTTTTTCTTTGTTTCGTTTTTTGTTTGAATAATGTTCTATTGCCTGTAACTCTGGTTATCTTATATAAAAATGGCTTTTTATTGCTCAGAAATACCTCTTTAACTTTTTAAGTTAGAGGAGCAACTAATCAGGTTTGGAGCATCATTTTTTTACTCATGTTTCAAATTTGGCCTTCCTGAATAGTGACCTATTGTGTTTAAAAAAAATGTAACCTAGGATGCACAAACTTTACATGAACTGATAATAAAGGTTGGTTTTTCTAGCCTCACACCATGGTTCTACAACTTCGGTAAAAGCACCTTCAGTGGTACTAAGGAGACCTTTTTTAACTCAGAAGAAATTCTGCCGTTTGCTACTTAAGTATTTATCCTGGAATAGGAATTCTGTTTGAATTCCTATTATTATTACTATTATGCTGCTATTATCATTAATACAAATCTATTTATTACCATTTTGTCCAGATTTTGGAGTTATATTTTTACTAAGGCTGTACAGTTTTGGGGTGTTTAAAAGCCAAGTTATATATATAAGTCATATATATCTGTATATATACACAATCTATATACTGTATATATATCCCCCATGCACCTTCTTCTTCTTTTTGACTATTTTTGCTGATCTAAAGTAAATTTCTTCACTGTGAGATCAATTAAGTCAATCTATCAATAAAAATGCAAGGTGGCCATATTGGGTTATAGACAAAGCTGGTACTGTATGAAACCTGGTAACTTCCAAGTTTAAACTCTGGCTTTTTAAGAATTTCTGAAAAAAAATTGAAAAGTCATATAGAAATAAGAAAAAAAAAATTTTTGTTGTTCATTTATTTAGTTATTTCTTTCCATGTTTTTGATGAGAACAGTCCTGGAAGCATTTTTAGCCAATTGGTTGTTTAGCTATCAAGCATATGTATAAAACACCTATGACTTTCTTGAAAAAATAAAATAAAAATCAATGCTTGAGTCTAAATTGTTGCTGTAAATCAACAGAAGTAAATTGCATAAGAGCATTTGTGCCAGGAAAAAAGTCATGACAATATGAACAGCACCACCTCCTGCTACCATTATCTCTAGAAACCTATTGTATGAAGATGGTGATGCTTGGGAAACATTATCTAAGGTATGAGAACCGCTTTTCAATCCAAGTCTTACTGCAGGGCTTTATTCTGTAGCAAGTTTATACACACTGTAACCTCTTTCTCTTCCTGTTGTGTGTCCACACTTTATGAATTTTCAGCCAGATTTCACCGCGTACTTTCAACGGAGGAGGATTAGGGCCACTGCAAAATAAAACAAGTTAACAGTTTTTTAAATATTATTTCAGTTTAATATGGTCATCTTCTCAGAATTCTGCCCTTTTTTTCCTCAGAATTCTGACTTTAATCTCAGAATTCTGACTTTTTTTTCTCGGAAACATGAATTTAATCTCAGAATTCTGACTTTTTTCTCAGAATTCCAACTTTAATCTCAGAATTCAGACTTTTGTTCCCCTCAGAATTCTGACTTTTATCTCAGAATTCTCACTTTTTTCTCAGAATTCCGACTTTTTTCCGTATAATATGGGAAAAAATAATATTTAAAAATCACTTAACTTTCTTTTCTTTTTTTTTTTCCAGTGGCCCTAATCCTCTTCCATAACTTTCAGGTCATTTTCACATCCCGTTAAAAATGTACTTCTTTATTATGATCATGTAAATTGAAATGTTATCTATGTTCCAGAATTAATCTGAAGGAATGCAGTGAATTAACGGACCATGATTTCGTAGAAAACCTTCGCTTTACCAAGCTGTTAAAAACCACTTAGAAATAATTTATTTTTAACTTTTACACAGATTTGGGTAGGTCCGTGCGTCGGAAACATTTAAGTAAAAACTGCCACTTAAAGATCAATCATGTTGTTAGCGGAAAACATCAGCATGCAAAAACACTGGCGCGGCATCAAGGAGACAAATAAAACCAAAAGTTACCTTTTTATGTGAGGTAAAAACACCCAGGAGGTTTGGATCGCTGGAAAATCCGGGGCTGCAGGGGGAAAAAAATCCTTTTCCGCATTCCTAAAGGAAAATAACTTTCTTTCTCCCACCCACAGACTCTAATGGGAAGTGGAGTAATCCATTTTAAAGGATGGACATACCATTTATCCAAAGTATAAAATGTAAAATTATAAAACATTCACATATACTATAAAATTAGATGTTAAAAAAATACCGATATTTATTTATTTTTTCCTGAAAAACTCAATCATGTTTTTCCTACCTGTAGTTTTCTTCCTAAACGCCAGGTGGCGGTGTTTCATCTAAAGCATGGTTTCCTAAAATTGTGGCCCGTCAGTTGTTATTTTGGTGGAACAGTTTTCACAATTTCACAGTCCAAAGTCCATCATATTATGACTGCATTTCACTCCTTTTTTTCTTAAATAATTGTTGTATACTCTTTTACAAATTTTCCTTTACTTTAAAAGCATAGTTATTGACTATAGTTTCAAAATATTTGATTTCCATCATGTTATAGTTTGTTTCCAATTTTATTTTGTCCTGTTCTGAACTTTACCCGATCTTTTAAAATTGTGTTGTTTTTTTCTAGAGCCAGCATCTCTGAGGTTGTACAACTGTTTGGGGAAAGAGCTTAAGTGTAAAAGATTTCACTTAGGCCTAAAACCCAAACAAACCCCTGAAGTTAAGTTTTTTTTTTGTCACATAAACAGCATCCACAAGGGTATTGTTAATACAGATCAAATATCAGCACAAACCGACACATAACTGAGAAATATCTGCTTTTATTGATTAAAAAAAATTGCCACAATTAACTTTGCAACTTGCAACTTTGCAATTTTCTGTTTACACAGTGCTGCACATCCGACGCTCTCTAAATTCAGTAAAACCAGGGGGGGGGGGGGTAATTTTTCAAGTCATAGCACAAGTTCTCAACTGTATTTACAATTTGTTAGTATCAAAGCATAATTGCCTACGTGAAATTTGAGGGCTTTTATAAAACAAAAACTTTTTAGCAAGCATGTCTCATTTTTATCAATATTGTAACAGTAAGCCAAAATGTGACTGAGGTCAACTTTGACAAAGCCGTTTTAAAAAGCTCTTGTTATGGCATTTTGGTTGCTGCCCTGCTGGAAGACAGACATTTTCCTCACTCTCAGGTGAATTGCATCTTGTGACATTCCAGCATTGCCATATATTTATCATTTTCAATTTTTGCATAGATTCTCCACACCACTGTGTTAGACTGGGAACTTCAACCCATTTGGAAATTAGTGCCTCTTTATTGACTTATACAGTATGCAACATCTTCATAAGAAGCTATGGATGCTATGTTCTATGATTAGCAATGCTTCCTTTGAAATCTTTTTTTTATTATTTGCTAAATGAGGATAAAAATACTTTGCTGATAATTTGTTCCTTATAAACTTCTCTAAATTCTCTATGTGATTTAATAAAAAAAAAAAAAAAACTGTTGAAATATTTCTGACTTGGTTGGATGCCTTTAGATCTTTGTAACTTCTGATTTAAAAAGCATATTACATGATCAGATACAAAATAAAAGAGCTGTTTATCTCATGTGTCAACACTAATGTAAATGAGTCAATACATTTTACAAATTCACAATCTGGATTCATGACCTCTTTTTTGTTGCAGAGGATAGTAGCTTTTTAATAAAAAAATAGTCTGCTAGTTGTTGTGTTTTAAGTAGAGTAAGAAAAGCGTTTCAATGCTTGCACAGATTTAAAGAGTAGTAGCATTAATACAAAAAAAAAAAAAAAAGGCAAAGCAGTTTTCTGAAAAACAGACCCGACATTTCAGAAAAAGCATCGATCAAACTAGACCACCAAAACTGGGGATGGGCATCATCAGCCTGGTTGCTTTAGTCTGGAAGCGGATGTGGGTGATTACTGCAGACCGGTTGGATTTCCCTTGAAAATGGTTTGAAGAAATTAAGTAAATGTATTAATGTCCCAAGAACAACCAAACAAATGTACTTTATCAGTCAAGCTGATTGTTGTTTTAGTTCTTATTCACCTTATGTTTGGCAGAGCGAGGGGATTCCTGATTGTTTTTCCCCTTCTTGCATTGGTCTTGTGGCAGAGTGGGGACCTTTCTGCTACCCATCTTAGTTTTGGATTTTCCCCTTCTGGGATAGGCTGCAGCACTGCCTTTACTCTAAAAATGAAAAACATGGAAGGAAGATGAGTAAGAATGGCAGAATATTCCGCAAAAGATCAACATATTGATAGTTTTGTTTAAAGAGATCAAGCACCTGTGTTTTTTTATTTCACTTTGAGTCTCTTGTTAAAGATGTCTGGCACATCAAAAGAATTCATTACACTTCTAAAAATGATTTGCTTTTGAAAAATAAATGGTATAGCAGCTCATGGCAAACAGTAGTTTTACAATGTTTTGCTAAATTTGAAACACTTTGTTGATGAAAACGCAAGGATGGTTCAAAACCACATGTCATAGACCAACTCCTAACACTGTTCACTATTTAACACTAATCTTATTGCAAAGAAAGGCCTAACAGCTGTTTGGATTGTATAATAAGTCAACATTGCACAGTGTAGATCAATCTGAAACATTAAGATGATTAAAAAACAGTAACGCCTTTAAAAAGAAAAATTGACTTAATTTTTAAAAAACGTTTTGGGTTATTCCTCAGATGCCTGGAGTCACTGATTAGCTTCATAACTAAATTTACAATAGTTATAGGTGCTGTTATATTAAAATCCTAACCTCTCAGGCCTATACATTTAAACATGAGGGGTTATAAGATAACATTGAACTGAAACAAAAAGGCCAAAAACACGAGAAATCTGCAAGTGGAGACAACTTTATGTGATTTTCTCTACCTGGTCGTTGAACCCAGAGATCTTCAGCTCATTCTGGAGATCCTTCATCTTCCAGGCGCACTCTTCATCATATTCTTTCAGCTCATTCTGGAGATCCTTCATCTTCCAGGCACACTCTTCATCATATTCTTTCAGCTCATTCTGGAGATCCTTCATCTTCCAGGCGCACTCTTCATCATATTCTCTCAGCTCATTCTGGAGATCCTTCATCTTCCAGGCGCACTCTTCATCATATTCTTTCAGCTCTCTCTGGAGATCCTTCATCTTCCAGGCGCACTCTTCATCATATTCTTTCAGCTCATTCTGGAGATCCTTCATCTTCCAGGCGCACTCTTCATCATATTCTTTCAGCTCTCTCTGGAGATCCTGCATCTTGTCTTCTTCATATTGTTTCAGATGTTTTTTCGACTCCATAGTTTCCAAACCTAAGTTATCAAGCCGAGCAACACCCTTCTTGGCCATCCTATAGCTTAGAGGATCAAAAGCTTAAACATAGTAAAAAATAGATTAGAAAAATCAGTAATATTTTTTTCTATTTTACAAATTTTAAATCAAAATTGTATGGCATGCAATTTTGCATGCTCCTAATCAGACGACGGATGGCGTCCTGGGGTATCTCCTCCCAGATCCGGACCAGGGCATCACTGAGCTCCTGGAAAGTCTGAGGTGCAACCTGGCATCGTCGGATGCATCGAATCATAATGTCCCGGAGGTGTTCTTTTATATTTAGATCAGGCGAGCGTTGGGGCCAATCAACGGTATCAATTCCTTCATCCTCCAGGAACTGCCTGCATACTCTGGCCACAGGAACCCAGGATCCACTGCACCAGCATAGGGTCTGACAATGGTTGCAAGGATTTCATCCCGATACCTAATGGCAGTCAGGGTGCCGTTGTCTAGCCTGTATAGGTCTATGCTTCCCTCCACAGATATGCCTCCCCAGACCATCACTGACCCACCATCAAACCGCTCATGCTGAATGATGTTACAGGCAGCATAACGTTCTTCATGGCTTCTCCAGACCCTTTCACGTCTGTCACATGTGCACAGGGTGAACCTGCTCTCATCTGTGAAAAGCACAGGGCGCCAGTGGTGGACCTGCCAATTCTGGTGTTCTGTGGCAAATGCCAATCGAGCTCCACAGTGCCGGGCAGTAAGCACAGGGCCCACTAGAGGACGTTGGGCCCTCAGGCCACCCTCGTGAAGTCTGTTTCTGATTGTTTGGTCAGAGACATTCACACCAGTGGCCTGCTGGAGGTCATTTTGTAGGGCTCTGGCAGTGCTCCTCCTGCTCCTCCTTGCACAAAGTAGCAAATACCTGTCCTGCTGATGGGTTGTAGACCTTCTACGGCCCTGTCCAGCTCTCCTGGAGTAACTGCCTGTCTCCTGGAATCTCCTCCATGCTCTTGAGATTGTGCTGGGAGACACAGCAAACTTTCTGGCAATGGCATGTATTGAAGTTCCTTATCGACTCAGACGCCAGCAAGGTGGAGGTAGGATACTGGTATGGGCTGGTATCATCAAAGATGAGCTTGTGGAACCTTTTCGGGTTGATGATGGAGTCAAGATCAACTCCCAGACCTAATGCCAGTTTCTGGAAGACACCTTCTTCAAAGAGTAGTACAAGAAGAAGTCGCCATCATTCAAGAAAAACATGGTATTCATGCAGGACAATGCTCCGTCACACACAGCAAAATACAACAACAGCGTGGCTGGCCAAAAAGAGTCTAAAAGAATAAAAAATAATGATATGGCCTCCTTGTTCACCTGATCTGAACCCCATTGAGAGCCTGTGGTCCTTCATGAAATGTGAGATCTGCAGGAAGGGAAAACAGTCCACCTCTCTGAACAGTGTCTGGGAGGCTGTGGTGGCTGCTGCACACAATGTGGATCGCAAACAGATCAAGATACTGACAGAATCTATGGATGGAAGGCTTTTGAGCGTCATGGTGAAGAAAGGTGGCTATATTGGTCACTGATTTGTTTTTTGTTTCTTCGAATGTCGTAAATGTTTATTTCAGAATTTTGAGCTGTTATATTGGTTTACCTGGTGAAAATAAACAAGTGAGATGGGTATATATTTGTTTTTTATTACATTGCCTAATAATTCTGCACAGTAATATTTACCTGCACACACAGACATCCTCATAAAATGGCCAAATCTAAAAAAAAAAACACAAACTTACAAAAATATGAAACTTTGATATTAAGGAGTCTTTTGGGTAGATTGAGAACACAATTGTGGCCCAATAATAAAAATAATCCTCAAAAATACAACTTGCCGATTTTTTTTTTTTTAACTTTATTCTTTTTTTTTTTTTTCAGTGGCCCTAATCCTCTTCCGTAACTTTGAGTCACTTTCACATCCCGTTAAAAACTTACTTATTTATTATGATCCTCCCATATTTATGAAGTCATGTATGGCATTTCTATTTAATGTAAACTGACAGTTATAAAAATGAAATATAGTCTAAAATGTTATCTATGTTCCAGAATCAACCTGGAGGAATGCTGTGAATAAACGGACCATGATTTCATAGAAAACCGTTGTTGAATTACCAAGCTGTTAAAAACCACTAAGAAATGATTTATTTTTAATTGTTGCACAGATTTAGGTAGGTACATGCGTCTGAAGCATTTAAAAAGTCTAATAGTGAGTTTTTAGAGTTAAGTAAAAACTGCCACTTAAAGATCAATCAGTTTGTGGAAAACATCAGCATGAAAAAACACTGGCACTGAAATATGGAGACAAATAAAACCAAAAGTTACCTTTTTATGTGAGGTAAAAACACCCAGGAGCTTTGGATCGCTGGAAAATCTGGAGCTGCAGAGAAAAAAAAATCCTTTTCCGCATTCCTAAAGGCAGACATCCCAAGTTCCAAAAACTAATTTCAGGGAGATGCTTATCAAACCCCCCAACAAAAAAGGAAGAATAAAATAAACAACACACACACACACACCCGGGGACAACAGACCCGCACCGTGCCCCATACACATACACTTAAGGCCAGCAACTTTTCATCAACTGTTTATTAACTAACAGTTATTTCTTAAACACAAAACAGAACAGTATTGGTCTTTTATTTTTAATACTTTCAATCTTGTAGCCTAAAACATCAGTTGTGCTTTCTGTTTTTAGTGGGACTTCAGCATACAGTGCACGGTGTCATCATTCCTCACCATGGCTATGTGATTTTATAAAATATAAAAAAATAGTTGAAGTATTTCTGACTTGGTTTGACTCCTTTACATCTTTGTAACTTCTGATTTAAAATACACATTACTAATCAGATAAAAAATCAACGAGCTGTTTGTCTCATATGTGTCAAAAATAATGTAAATAAGTCAATACATTTACAAATTCACAATCTGGATTCATTACCTCTTTTTTGTTGCAGCAGAAAGTAACTTTTTAATAAAAATTAGTCTATTAGTTGTTGTGTTTTAAGTTGAGTAAGAACAGCGCTGCACAGATTTAAAGAGTAGTGGCATTAATACAAAAAAGAAAAAAAAGGCAAAGCAGTTTTCTGAAAAACAGACCCGACATTTCAGAAAAAGCATCGATCAAACTAGACCACCAAAACTGGGGATGGGCATCATCAGCCTGGTTGCTTTAGTCTGGAAGCGGATGTGGGTGATTACTGCAGACCGGTTGGATTTCCCTTGAAAAAGGTTTGAAGAAATTAATTAAATGTATTAATGTCCCAAGAACAACCAAACAAATGTACTTTATCAGTCAAGCTGATTGTTGTTTTAGTTCTTATTCACCTTATGTTTGGCAGAGCAAGGGGATTCCTGATTGTTTTTCCCCTTCTTGCATTGGTCTTGTGGCAGAGTGGGGACCTTTCTGCTACCCATCTTAGTTTTGGATTTTCCCCTTCTGGGATAGGCTGCAGCACTGCCTTTACTCTAAAAATGAAAAACATGGAAGGAAGATGAGTAAGAATGGCAGAAAATTCCGCAAAAGATCAACATATTGATAGTTTTGTTTAAAGAGATCAAGCACCAGTTTTTTTATCTCACTTTGAGTCTCCTATTAAAGATGTCTGGCACATCAAAAGAATTCATTACATTTCTAAAAATTATTTGCTTTTGAAAAAGAAATGGTATAGCAGCTCATGGCAAGAGTAATTTTACTGTATTTTGCTAAATTTGGAACACTTTGTTGATGAAAACGCAAGATGGTTCAAAACTTTACACAGTGTAGGTCAATCTGAAACATTAAGATGATTAAAAAACAGTAACGCCTTTAAAAAGAAAAATTTACTTAATAAATTTTTCCTATGTGAGCAAAAGATCTAACAAAATAGTCAAGATTCAGAGACTGAACGTTTTGGGTTATTCCTCAGATGCCTGGAGTCGCTGATTAGCTTCAAAACTAAATTTACAATATTTATATGTGCTGTTATGTTAAAATCATAACCTCTCTGGCTTATACATTGAAACATGAGGGGTTATAATATGACATTGAACTGAAAGAAAAAAGCCAAAACACAACAAATCTGCAAGTGGAGACAACCTTATGTGATTTTCTCTACCTGGTTGTTGAACCCAGAGATCTTTAAATCATTCTGAAGGTCCTGCATCTTCCAGGGACACTCTTCATCATATACTTTCAGCTCATCCTGGAGGTCCTGCATCTTCCAGGCGCACTCTTCATCATATTTTTTTAGCTCATCCTGGAGATCCTGCATCTTCCAGGTGCACTCTTCATCATATTTTTTTAGCTCATCCTGGAGATCCTGCATCTTCCAGGCGCACTCTTCATCATATACTTTCAGCTCATCCTGGAGATCCTGCATCTTCCAGGCGCACTCTTCATCATATACTTTCAGCTCATCCTGGAGATCCTGCATCCTCCAGGTGCACTCTTCATCATATTTTTTTAGCTCATCCTGGAGATCCTGCATCTTCCAGGCGCACTCTTCATCATATACTTTCAGCTCATCCTGGAGATCCTGCATCTTCCAGGCGCACTCTTCATCATATACTTTCAGCTCATCCTGGAGATCCTGCATCTTCCAGGCGCACTCTTCATCATATACTTTCAGCTCATCCTGGAGATCCTGCATCCTCCAGGCGCACTCTTCATCATATTTTTTTAGCTCATCCTGGAGATCCTGCATCTTCCAGGCGCACTCTTCATCATATTCTTTCAGCTCTCTCTGGAGATCCTGCATCTTGTCTTCTTCATATTGTTTCAGATGTTTTCTCGATTCCTTAGTTTTCAAACCGAAGTTATCAAACCGAGCAACACCCTTCTTGGCCATCCTATAGGTTAGAGGATCTAAAGTTTAAACATAGTAAAAATAGATTATAAATATCAGTAATATTTTCTTGTATTTTACAAATTTTAAATTTAACTTGTATGAAGCTAATAATATGAAGATTCTTTTTACCTTTGGTACCGATATTTTCTAAAGTATGGAACCATTTAACTTTATTGTACCAATAATCAAATTAGATGGAAGCACAGCTCTTAGTTTAATAATCATTATTAATGTAAATTTCTAATCTTAAACGCAAATAATAACTAGGGCTGCACCAATATTAATATCGAACTTTGATCCGATATTAGCCCCAAAACTAATATTAGATTATATTGACCTGCGTCCAAATTTCTGATTTTATCATTCTGATAGAAAAAACTGCTTCTGTTTAAGATTTCTGTAACCCATTGGTTAATATAACACGGGTCATCATATCTATTGATGTTGACTATTTTTCTCTGTTAGTAATAGCACTTCATCAAGCCTTTTTTAGCATTCAACAGTCCAAAATAAGTATATATATAATAAAACATGTATGGTTTATCTCAATATCATATCAGGTCAATATTGGTATCGGCCAATACTCAAAGCTTCAATACCGGAAATGAAAAAGTTTTATCAGGATACAGCTAATAATATCTGATAATATTTCAGTTCCTAATATGATCTCAATATTCAACATGACTAAATAACTTTCACCTTTTACTGAAGGTATGTAATCTGCAAGAACTGAATCATATTATTCACTTTCTTTAAGATTACATATGTCCCTCTATTCAGGGGGTGGAATGATCTTTAGGACAGTCCATCATTTGTAATTTGATTTGAAATTTGAGTTCAAGAAGGTTGAAATTCTCATACTCGTCATTACTTTTGGGAGGGGTGTGAGCCATAAAATAGTGATCTGATTCTAACAGATCTTAAGGATCAATGGGGTGTTTGTTTACAACACCCTAAATATAAGTATATATATGTATATATATATATATATATGTATATATATATATATATATATATAGATGTGTGTGTGTGTGTGTATTAGTAGGAGGCATAGATACATTTAAAAAAAAAAATCTAGATTAATCTAGAATAAAAGGGCTAATTTGAATTATGCCACAGGACTTCATGAATAAGAATCAGAATTACTTTATTAATCCCTGCCGGGAATCTTTTTTTCTTGCAGTGCAACCGTTTACAGAAAAGAAAAATAGGATTTTAAGTACAAATAAGATATAATAATAAAATTAGAAAAGGATAATAATAAAATAAGATAATGGTAAAAGTAAGGTAAGATAAGGATGATGTGTGTGCTACCTAAATAAGTAAAAGCAAACCTTTGAACAGGTTTCTCAAGCTAGGTGGCGCCTTAGACCAGGGGCTCATCTCCTATTTCCGAAATGCATCACAAACTGGTTGAGAAAGCTTTTCTACATGCATCAAAATACACCACAGCGTGGCTGGCCAGAAAAAGTCTAAAAGAATTAAAAATAATGACATGGCCCCCTTGTTTACCTGATCTGAACCCCATTGAGAGCCTGTGGTCCTTCATGAAATGTGAGATCTGCAGGAAGGGAAAACAGTCCACCTCTCTGAACAGTGTCTGGGAGGCTGTGGTGGCTGCTGCACACAATGTGGATCGCAAACAGATCAAGATACTGACAGAATTTATGGCTGGAAGGCTTTTGAGCGTCATGGTGAAGAAAGGTGGCTATATTGGTCACTGATTTGTTTTTTTGTTTGTTTTTTTATGTCGTAAATGTTTATTTCTGAATTTTGAGCTGTTATATTGGTTTACCTGGTGAAAATAAACAAGTGAGATGGATATATATTTGTTTTTTATTACATTGCCTAATAATTCTGCACAGTAATATTTACCTGCACACACAGACATCCTCATAAAATGGCCAAATCTAAAAAAAAAAAAAAAACACATAAACTTCCAAAAATATGAAACTTTGATATTAGGGAGTCTTTTGGGTTGATTGAGAACACAATTGTGGCCCAATAATAAAAATAGTCCTCAAAAATACAACTTGCCTAATAGTTCTGCACACAATGTAGTCTAGCGTTAACGCAGATAACGGCCCACCACTTTAACCATGGTTATGTCAAATTGGACACTAGCGCCACCAATCCTAGTGGGGACTGGTGTCACAACACCTGGTGGCAACTAGCGTCACCTCTCGTAGAGGTGACTGACGTGGCAACAGCTGGTGACAACTTACTGGTGTTTCTGGACCTACTGATGACTGGAATCTTAATGAGCTCGGTGATGCAATAAATTGATCTGTATTATTAAGGCTTTTATTTTGTAGAGTAACAGGTGTTTAATTTTGAAGGTCTAGTAGGGCTTTGTCTTTAACATGAGGTCAGACTCTGGAGTTATATGGAATCCATTTACAATTGTTTCATCTATCCTTTTCCTTCTTATTAGATTAGTCAGTGCTTTATTACAGAGGAAATGGGCAAGCTTTATTGAGAAATGTGCACTCAGGTGTGCTGTGAAAAGGCCTTTGTAGCCTAATTTCAAGAAACTGGTTAAGTATGGGTCATAACGATGAGCCGTATGCTGCAATGAATTATTGTGTATAATACAGTGGCTTTTATTTTGTAGAGTCCAGCAGGGTCTTTTCCCTGTTATGTTAATAGATCTTTATTAAGGTGGTATTGAGAGTGCTTTAATTTGAGCTCTGCAGTGCTGTGCAAAGGCCAATACAGTCAAATAAAAAATGGTTGAGTTTTGGTCATAAAGCTGTGACATTATGTTGCAATAAATTAGTGTGTATAATGTAGCGGCTTTTATTTTGTAGAGTTTTGTACAGCTCTCATGACATTTCCATTTTCTTAAAGTGCAGCAGTGATCAAATGTAAACATTGTGGGAGAATAAACAGTGCAAAAATCCACAGATCTGTGCCTTGCCATAATTCTCTGAACTCCTTGGGCAGTTCCTTCGACCTCATGATTCTGGTTTGCTCTGAGATGCACTGTGAGCTTTAAGGTCTTATAAAGACAGTTGTGTGCCTTTCCTAATCCAGTCCAATCAGTTTAATTAAACACAGCTGGACTCCAATGAAAGAGCAGAACCATCTCAAGGAGGATCAGAAGAAATGAACTGCAGGTGATTTAAATATGTCACAGCAAAGGGTCTGAATACTTATGACCATTTGATATTACAGTTTTTCTTTTTTGATAAATATGCAAACAAATTCTACATTTGTGCTGTTTTTATCCAGCTAGATGGGGATGCTGAGTGTACATTAATGAGAAATAAAATTGACTAATTGATTTTAGCAAATGGCTGCAATGAAACAAAGAGAGAAAATGCATAGAGCATAGGATGCCAATGCAAATCTCGCATTGCTATGGAAGGCACAAATTAATCAATTTCTTTCTACCCATGGCTTGACTGGTGATTAAAAAAGAAATTACCTTTTAATTCAGCGTTGGCTAAAGTTTCTTTAAGACGGTGGAGTCCAAGCTTTCTCACACTCCTATCCATTCATGAAATGAGGAGACTATCGTTTCAAGTTCCACTCCTTATTTTACTGAAATGAAACTGAAAATGAAACTCAGCGAGATTTCTTTTATAGCTGAAACTTATTAAAGCTGCGTTCCAGTTTCATTGTTTTCTGATCAAGAAGGCGTAATACCAGATGAACTAAATCTGTAACCTGGGCAAAAAAAAGTCAATTTAAAAGTTTTAATGACTAACTTAAATAATTAGAAATTACATATAATGTAAGTCAGTCATGGGAATATTTCCTCAAAAATAAAATAAAAATGCAGGGCAGACTTTTGAGCGAGCAGTGCAAATTGAGGTAAGTTGCCTTTAGTGATGCCACTAGATGAAGGCACTTTAATCTGCATCAGATTTGGGCTACAAACAGAGGTGGTTCCAGCAAACTCTCACAGGGCTGGCCAGTAAGGGATCGACCAATGTGCAATCAGGGATGGCCGGAAAATAATAATAGGCATGGAAACCAGTTGATGGTCAGCCTACTGATCAAACACACCAACAGGAAAAACATGCACTACATCTATATTTTCCAAATAAAAAACAAAACAAAAAAAAATACAAAATTTTCATGCACCCTTAGCAATAAAGCAGCGTATTTTATATTCTTTAAAGTTTATACCAACAGAACAAGCCATGATATTCCTCAAGTCATACATTTTTCATACTAACCTCAAGACTGGAAAATAAATTAGTTTTGTTTTTTTTGGCTTGTTCTGATTCCAGACCAAAGAAATTAAACAAAACCAGTGTCCTGCAGGTTACTGTCTAACGTGTTCTTAGGCATGGACGAAATATTGATCTAAGATTCTGACTTCGGCGTGTTTGACCATCACAAACCCGGATCACAGATCCGATTAACTGGCGCATCAGATGTTTGTATATTGAACTTCTCAGGAGTGACAGCGGTGCACATGACATAAGAAAAGCTTTCGGCCAATCAGGAGCTTGTGGGCGGTCTAAACTCAGGGAAGCTGGCTTCAGCTTGAGCAGCAGTTTTCCACTTGGTCCTAGAGCTCGACGAATGTCTCTGTATTGTAGTGTAAAATCATTTTGATTTGCCTCGTCTGTTCCTGTTTGGCTGTGACTCCATCCTGGAGAGAAATAGCTGTGCTGCTGCCATCAACACCCTTGTTTATAGATGTTGGAGATCGGCCTGTTTACCAGTGTAGTCCTGTTTCTCTGACTGTGACAGGCTGGATGTGCTCTCTTCCTCCTCTGACATGGGAGTTGGCTAAGAGCTCGTCTGCCTGGCTGTGTGTTTCCTGGACGGAGCCGCCTTTTATGGCTGCTTTTTGTATCTCTGGTTCTGTCTCCTTGAACCCCAGTCAGCCTCAGCAGATGGCCGCTCACACTGAGTCTGGTTCTGCTGGAGGTTTCTTCCTGTTAGAAGGGAGTTTTTTCTCTCCACTGTCACTACAAGCATGCTTAGTATGAGGGATTGCATCCGAGTCAATGCAATCGACTTTTTTCCTTAGAAAACTTTTAATCAATTTGACTGTATGATTTGTTGAACTATAAAGTGCCTTGAAATGACATGTGTTGTGAATTGGCGCTTTAAATAAACTAAATTGAATTGAATCATTTTTGGATAGTAAAATGTGCAGGGGACAAAAACGGACATTTGAAAAAGTGCAGGGGACATGTCCCCCCCATTCCCTCCCAAAACTATATCCATGTGCTTAGGGCATTCATCATTCATAAAAAAAATAAAAATCAAAAGTCAACACTTTTTGGATTTGAAAATGATTTTAGTATTTTCTGAGGCAGTATCATGAGCCCAACATATACATGGAACTTGTAAAGAAAATATTTAAAGCAAGTGACAGCAAATCTAAGCTGGCGATACCTGTGTGGAGGGCCAATGCTGGTGTTTAAAAAAGTCATTTTTTTCACACATCAAATATGGAACAGTCTTTATAATAGATTTTTAAAAAATCAAAGACTATTGGGCAATAATTTTCTTCATGGGTGTTGGACATTTGCAAACTTGATTCTCATATTTGACTCAGTACATATAATCAACAAAACAAAAGAAACCACCACTGCTTGATTTTTTTTTCTTTCAATAAGTTCTTTCTCTTGAACCGTTTCTCTTGAACCAACAATAGCTGAATGGATAAAGCGTTGAATCAGATGCACTGGTCCTCTGAGAAAAAGAAAAAAATGCATCACAAAAGCCCAAAATAAAAGAAGTCAGGGCAGCATCTGTGGTCATACAATGATGAAAAGTAGGAACTTTTACAAAAACTAATATGAAAAGTCTCCAAGCCCAACAGACTGATCACAGGAAAGCAGTTCATGTAAAGAACGCAGTGACTTGCTTAACATTTAATCTTTTATAGTGCCACAACATTTTTCAAAATAAAATGTTTCCACCTCTACGCTCCATTGACAAGGCATGACTGTACAGTTAAGTATGCATTTACATATAAACCAGTGAAACACTGTAATAAAGAGAAACATGTTGTAGTGTCCTTGAACATGATGCGAACATCTAACCAGTAATAACATTTTTACTGTAGGTTTTAAAGATGAGGAGTTATGACCTAAAATGAAAAGAAAAAAAAAAAGATTTCTGTAACAGAGTTCTGGGAGTTTGCAAAACAAAAAAGAAAAAAAGACATTACTTTAAGCAGTAAGCAGTCCTTGGTGCTGATTGGAACAAGATTAAAAAGTTGTCTAATTGGCCCCCGATTGCGATTAGTTAGGTTGTGTTTATTGCTAGTGCCACTGCAGAGACCAGATGCTGACTGAAGGAGGCGCCTTTCCCATTCCTGACAGGGCTGTTCAGTAGGATGGGAATTTTAATATCCGGCTAACATCCAAAGATAACTACGGTATATAGGAAAGAAACATCACTTATAAATCAGGTTTATACAGATAAGTGAATTGATACCAACCCAGGCAAAGCAACAGGGAAGCTTTCATTTCATTGATACATTTAAGTTTTTTATGTCATCTAAGCCCCTACCCCTTCAAAAACACACTTTTTAATTGCGTCCTTACAGCGACTGAGCAATTGACAGTATATAGAAAGTGTTGGTGAAACTTTGCCAGCTGCTTGATGATAGCCCTGCAAGATCACACACATCCAGCTCATCACATGCACACACTCCGTCAATGCCTGTGACTTTCCCACGGAAGAAATAGGATCCCGTCAAATGTCCTTCCTTTTCCTTTAATTTCACATAGTAGAGCAACAGAATGTAGAAACAAAAAAACAAAAAAAATAGATGTTCCACTAATCTAAGCAGTTCTGATAGCGTGTGGGGTTTGTTGTGTACCTCCAACAGACATAATTCTGGGCTGATGCACAATGTTGACATGCAAGGAAATCATTTTTTTCCCATGATGAATTAATAAAACAAGTCTTTCACAGGTGGATTGAACGGGTGGTCATGAAGGTAACCTTTATTTACTAGCAAAATCTGAAAGGAAATGACAAAAAAAAAAAAAAAAAGGAAGAAGTGCCCAACTGCATTTCAAAGTTGTTAATAGGAAATAACACACTTTGCTTCTTACAGTAGGTTATGTTAAATGTCCTGTCTGTTCTGGAGGGCTACAGTTCAAATACAGGAAGCAAATACAGTTTGGCAAAACAGCATGAAGAGTGAACCTTTTGAGTTGGCCATCTTTCTTTTCCATCATCGACCGAGAACAAACACAAAACAAATATTTTGCCAAACCAGTCTCTCCTGAAAGGGTCTAATAATAAGTTAAAGAGGACCTTGGAGAGCTCAGGTTAAAAGATGGTCTGTGTGTATGCATAATATATATTCATTTATATATCTCTATAATTGGTGTGAAATAATAGTGTCCAGTTCTGGGAGTTCATGGTTAATTCATTGTAACTCCAAGTTTACCCACCCCCCACCCCGCTTTGCTTCTGTTTCAAAGACCCGGACATCTCATGGAGGATCTCTGAGCTGGCAGGGTCGGTGGTGGTGAGGATCTTTAAGGTCCATTGTTATGCCTTGCCCTCTTCTACTTTGACAGCCTGGGGTTTGATGGCTCCAGTGCGTGCTGGTTTAGCCTGACCCATGGTGGGTAAGGGCTCCTGGAGTTTGCTGGTCATGCCCCCTGGTGGCGATTTGCCCTCCCCCACAGCTTTGCGTACTTCTCGCAATGCTTTGCTCTACATAAGGAAAATTAGAAAAATTAAGAGGAGCATAGAATACGGACTTGCACACCAAACAAGCATAAAAGGAAAAGTTTAAATTTTTTTATTATTCTTTTTTTTCCCTTCCCGTTTCTCTTTTTGTTTTCAATTGATGAATGAATACCCAGTGGGTGCATTTTAGGTGTCCAAAAAGAAGTTATAAAACAGCTTGAGGAATATATAAAGTCATAAAAAACATGATGTAATTTAACTTGGGTGTATTTTTGACTCTGTTACACTGATTAGATGTTTAATATAACAAAAATATATGATTTCCCATTACCCTTAATATTAAATATTTAATTAATCCAAACATTGGAAGCAATAACAAAAAAAAAATACTTAAAAATATATATACTTTTTCTAAAAAGAAATTGGATTTCTTTTTGAACCAATATTATATTTAGGAAATAAAACAGAAAAAAAAGACCAGAAATCAGACGTATAGGATTGGTGCATCTAGCAGATAAAATAAATCCAGCAATTTTGTCTATTTATCATCTTCACAATAAGACAAATGAGCAAATCAGAAACATTTACCAGACTTAAATGAATCAATGAGCTTAATCAGAACTAATACAAAAACATGGCATACATGCAAAACTGCAACGGTATATCTTAATTATGGACAATAATTATTTACATTAGAAATATTTTTTTTCTTCAAAATATAGCTCTTATCTACCTGATATAGGCATTTCTTTTAATTGTTGAAGTTATAAAGGGAAAGAAAAGTAAAACATTTTTGACCATTCTCATACGAAAAATAGAAAAGTTATTGATATCAATCAATGAACTAGAAAAATTATGGTATGCCAGTAAAAACTGGTTGTTTTAATGACAATTCAAATGAAGAAAAATACAAAAAGGATATAGAATAGAGGAAAAGAAATGGATAAAAATAAATTACCTATATTTATAGTGGGTGGCTCACCTTCATGCCATCCTCTGACCCTTTGACTGGGGGCTCAGGGACTGAAGGAGGGGTGGAATGGGAGGGGTCGCGGCCGGGGTTGGGGTAAGGGGGGGAGCGGATGATGACGGGTTTGTTAACCTGCATGACAGGTCTCTGAATTGGACTGGGGAAGGGGCCAGTGGTGGGGGGTCGCATGTGCATTACCATGCTGCCTTGAGCAGGTGAAACCTGACAGTCATAAGAGAAAAAACAAGGGAGGAAGAAATAAGCCGTGGGAAATAAAAGCATAGATATAAAGTAATGAATTATATGCTATATCTGCAGATACCAATAAAATACTTTGCTATTTGTTAAATGGTGTATATGGCATTCAGACAAAGTTTATTTGACCCATTCAGAAAAAATACCATCCAAATAGAAATTTGAAAAATGAGCACCTGCTGTGTAAAAAGTGTAGGCAGAGGCCCCATAGGCCCACTGGGACCAGAGGGCTTCCCACTGGGGCTTGCAGACCCTGGCCTGAAAAGCAACGATTGTTATTAAGCTTAAGGACAGAGTTTATATGCATTTTTACATTTATCAGCGTATGCAAGACAAGTAATTTCCCACCCACCTGTAGGAACCTCCAGATAAACCTGGAGAATGATTGGGCTTCTCAGAGAACTGGAATCCCTTCATTTCCATCTGTGAGCCCTGAAATCAGCACGACACAAAGACAATGACAACACATCCCTGGTTAAATGGACCTTAATGCTCTCAGGGAGGAAAAAGAGTTGATTTTAAGTCAATCTTATTCACTTCAACTACAAGCAGTTAGATTTAAGAAGAGAACTGAAGGATGCTAATCAAAACCCAAATCAGACTCGCCTCTCTGCTGCCAGTCATCACAGCAGCCTGGGAGCCTTGTGGCAGCATTCGGCGGGGCCCCCCCATTGACAGGTTCTGTCCCTGTTGCAGCTGGATTGACTGTGGGAGGATGAGGTGCTGCTGAGCTGAACCATAGCGCAGCTGTGAGCCAGGTAGAGGTACAGTCACCTGTGGAAATAAATAATTAATTTATAACAATAGTCTACATAATCTTTAATGTCATTTCATTGAGAATATCAGAGTGGAAGCAGGTGAATACTTTGGAAAGAAGCAATTAAGAGTTTACTCTGAAAGTATTTTTCGCTATTTAATTTTACCTGAATGAGCTGGGAGTCCATCAGCTGTGAAGAACCCATACCGGGCCCCTGATTCATCTGGCTGTCGTAGACGAGCTGCTGGTTGCCGTTCATAGGCTGGTAGTGGGAGCCTGACTGGGATTTCACCATGTCTGACTGCTGCATGCCAGGAAAAGCTGAATAAGGACCCTTTAGGGGGGCCCCACCTGACAGCACCATAGGGTTGGGCTGTGATAGGTTGGGGTGCATGTAAACCTGGGACCTGAAACGAGGAAAAAAAAACAGAGATTCACATACACGAGAGAAAGAAATATGATAAATTCATGTCTGTTCTTGATGAAACATTTTAACTTTGTATACCTGAAGGGGGGGATGGAGTTAAACATCTCTTGCGACTGAGAGACGGGCAGACCTCCACGGAGCCCCAACTGAGCCTGAGCCTGAAGAGATGTGTGCAAAGAGATGGGAATCTGCTGAGCTGCTGCTGCCTGAATGGGCGAGAAGTCGCAAAATTACAGCCATCTGTTTATTCTGGTGTGTCTGTGTGTGGATTAGTTTTTCTACCTGTGGATAGGTCTGCTGCTGGGTCATAGTGGGAGGAACGAGGCGTGGCTGAGTTTGAAAGACGTGAGCGTCCATGTACAACGGAGGAATAGGATTACCTGGATTGGGGTTACGGAGCAAACGGGTCTGAGATTAGATCACATAAAGTGAGAGAGTGAGGTATGATAAAAAAACAAAAAACTCTACCTTGCATGGACATGGAAGGAGCCACCGATGCAACAGGCATTGGAGGCATAGAAACTCCAAAAGAGCTATAGCTGACTCCACTAGATGAACCTGCACTAGAGGGAGGCTGAGCACCTGAGGAATTACCGCCGGGTGAGCCTTGCTCCGGGAGAGACTGAGAATTCTCCCAGGCTTTACGTGCCGACTCCATCTGCAAAAGAAAGAATCAAGCATTATTTTACACCTGGTTAACTTTAATAATTTAACAAATCTAAACCACACAAATTTCACCATATAAACAAAGTTAATTATTAATGATTTAACATAATATATGTGTTGCTTTTTCTTTATACAAATAAGATTCCAATACCTTGAGAGTGAGGTCAGCAGTAGGGAAGATGGTGTTGAGGCTAATGCCAGGCTGCAGGTGGTTGGAACGCAGCATTGGGATGCTCTGATTTAAAGAGGTCTGTTTTGGGAAAACATTTAATATCAACCATTTACACTTTCATAACAAGCAACCAAAATTAAATCCATTTTTTCTCACCATAAGCAGTTGGATACTATATTCCATATGTCTGGACTGATGTGTCAAGTTACTCACATCAGTGCCAAGTGTATCCTGAAGCTTGTTAACAGAACTGGAGACCGGTACGGGGGCGGAGCCAGGCGGCAGGCTGAAGTCAGAGTCTTTGGCGCTCACACCGAACTCAATGGGAGGGACGGGAAGTACGCTGTCCACATGGAGATCCACACCGTTGACTGGAGTAATTGGGCCACCTTCTAGTCGCTCAACACATTCTGAGCCTTTGCGGTTTTTCAAGGAACGTTCATTTCCGATGGGCCCTGGTTTGTGCTGTTCTTTACTCTGTTCTGGGCCAGCATCAGAATCCTGGGGGGAAAGTTACACTGTGTTAAAACTTAGACAAGTGATGGTTACCCAAAATTGATATATTAGTATATAATCAGCCACACACACCAGGGGTGGGGTGGGGTGTGGGACAATTCTGAAAAGTGTATTCAACAGTTAACAACAAAAGCAGGCAGCTCTGTTTAGGAGTTGCCTTACACTACCTCAGAGTTGGGTTCACTCGCAGTATACGACACCTGTTTAGTCCACGAGTCTCCCCCTGAAGACTGAACAGAAAGAGCTACAACAGATAAAAAAAATTATTGGACAAGAATAGAAAAAGACTCAATGAAAATATGTTTCAGTTAAATGAAAATCCAGATATTAATAAATAAAAATAAAGAAAGAAAAGAGACACCACCTGAACTGTTGGTTTCCCAGATTTCAGTTCCTAGGTTGTTCGTTGAGGAAATTGTTTCCTCCGTTTGCTCCAGACTCATATTTCCTTGCTTCTTGATGAAGCGTGGTGGCATCTTGGACGTGGCTGTTCTATTCTTGACTTGTACCTAAAGAAAATAAAGAGGAACTGGTTTCAAGCAGAAATTATACCAATTCTTAGCATAAACGTCTACAGAATTTACAAAAAAACAATCGCCATGGCAACATCTTTCCCTAGGGCTGTCAAAAAGATGTTCTATAGCAAACACATCTGCTCTACTTCAGCCTCTTATCTTATCCACATCATTTGTAACTATATATACACACTATATCTAATAGAGTTGGGCAAATAAATCTATTGATTTTTGGGGAAAGTCATTCAGCCCTAATATCTGTATATACAAATATCCAAAGAAAACAATTACATTTGGTGAATAAAGCTGAATAGGAGTCAAAAAAAGAAGTACAATCAAAGAGGTATTATAGTTGAGAATTCTTTCTTGGAACAGGATAAATCACATAAAAATTCTGTTCCAAGTGTGTCTGGACTGTAATTAGTTTTTACTTTTTAAATTAACAACAGTGTTGTTGAAATCTTGATAATGGACTGAGGTCAGTTATTTAATTATATAATGAATTCTAAATTGGATTTTTATGATTTACTTATAAAAGACAAATGAGCTGAAAACAGACACTGATAAGAAAAAACTAAAAGGAACCCAACAAAAAAAAAAAAGTTGTATTGCATTTTTGCACCATATACATTTGTCTTTGCATGCTCTGAACTCCCATATCAAAGCGTTTTGCACCATGTTTTTTCTCCCACGCTGTTTGCATTAGATCACTGCTGCACTTTATGGAATGGAAATGTTTATTTACAGTCTAAAAGCTGTATAAAACAACATTTTATTTTGTATACACTCTGCATATACAAATTAAAATAAAAGTCTGAATAAAAAATAAATAAATGCAATATGGCATGCCAGCAACTTAACTTTTACATACTCTTACTAGAAATAGCTCTTAGAAAACCAACTGTTAAGATTTAGAAAAGTGAAATGTCACTAATAAAAATTCAAGCTGTAATAATTAAAACCAGCAGCCTGTTTTTCCACAGATGGTAACAACACTTTTTATTTTAGCAAATAAAACACCTATGATAAGTGCTGTATGGAAGGTGACAATTGCCACAATGCAAAACTGTAAAAAAAAATAAAATAAAATAAAAAACAGAACATTTAAAACATAAATAATATTTAAAGTCCTAGATTAAATATATTGATTTCACTTTAAGAAGTCAGGACGATCATTTAATGATTTTATAAATTATTTCCCGATCCTGTGTTGAAGCACACCATGAATTTAAACTAAACTGTCACACATCCATCAAAATCAAGGAGGCGGGACAAGGGACGCTTCCGTGGAAACGCTGTAATTTGATTGGCTACTTCCGATTGAGCAGGATAAGACAACCCCTTCCTGGCTTTGTTTTACTTTGCAGTTAACTGAAGGCTAGAAACCAGTGAGATTATTATTACCAGCATACGTGCAGAGCTTAGATCTAAGCTTAGAGTATCAAGAGTAAAGCCAAGGACTCACTCAGTTGCCTTGTGAAAGATTTTGTCCTTTTTAAAGTCAGGAACAGAGGAAGTCTAACCTCAGAACAAACAACTGATTTAAAGAAAGTATTTTTAAATAGTATTTTAAAACTTAAGTAAAATTAACAAAGAAAACATTTTACTAATAAAAAATGCCACATAAAAGTGTTTAATATAAAACATCTTCCTGTTTTCATCTTTGTGGCGATTTAGCCTGTTAAGAAGACAGTCATGTTAAAACATTTATACATTTCTGATCAACTATCAACAAATTTCTTTCTTAAAAGTTATATTTGTGGTTGCTGTCAAAAGATTTTAGAACTCATATCAAAAAAGCTTTCACAATAATGACTGTCATCCTCCACACTAATACTTTGCATTACTGGGCATTTTACTTATAAATAATTTTGACATATAATTTACCTAGGTAACCTTTGTACATTTTCCCTAAGACCCAAATGCTGGAATTCTTGGACTGAAGTTAGAATCTTGACTCTGAGCCTATAGTTAAACTTACAGCGGCACCCTGTTCTTTTCTCCGCCTCTCATCTTCCTGTGGTCGGCGCTGCTTTTTTGACAAAGCATCTTGGTAACCATCTGGATCCACATTTTGTCCCCCTGCATCAGGATCAACTAACAGAAAGAAGAGAGTGTAAAAAACAAAAAAACAAAATAAACAATCATTGCAAAGGACATTAAGCTACTGCTGTTGTTCAGTAATGTCTGTATTAATATCAAATTGTAAGTTAAAAGCTCTCTTCATTTCATTTGAAGAGAGCTACAGGACAGCTTTAGCAAGTTTTGTTTCATTTAAAAATAAATAGCAAGAAAACTCACGGGGGTAGCTGCTGAGTTCGTATTGTGTGAGAGATTCAGCGAAGTCTGCCTTTACAGCTGATGCTTTTATTTCCTTTTCTAATTTCTTTCCTGTTAGCTCACTGGGCTCCCTGTCCTCTGGTTGGGGCTCCAAGCTGTAGACTGGGCCAGAGTCATCTGGACTCCTGCTAACATAGACAAAGAAAACAGGATTTTAATCATTTCCGCTAAACAAAAATCCAGATATCCAAACAAGATGGCATAACTACAACCGTCTAACCTCTTGCAAGAAGTCCCTCCATTCTGCCAACTCTCATTCCTGCTGGATGTCGGAGCAGGGGGATTTTCAGGTGTGCGAACCATCTTGGTTGCCTCTAGCAGTGACGGCTCTCCTTTTCGGTTCTGTCGCTCAACCAGCGGTCTCTGACTGGAGAAGCTTCTCTTTGAGAGCTCCCTCTTCTCACCAGAGCCAAATTCACTGTGACAAGAGTCTGAGGTAATGTCAACGTGTCCCTGCACTGCCATATTTCCACTCCCACCTTGCTTCCCTCTCCAGTCAAAGTCACTGTTGTCGGATCCTGTCTCCCATTCTTCTGTCTGGGCATGCTGACTGGAGCGTCCAGAGAAGTGACCAGTGGGCCAATGGTCTTCTCCGCTTCCTTTAGGGCGAGCCGGCCAGGGATTTGCAAAGTCTCCATTAATGTACTCATCGCTCGTCCACTGATTTGAACCAGGTTCGCGTTCTTGTCGTAAACGCCGGAAACGGGGAGGTTTGTCTTGACGTGGGGGACGCCGCCTCCTTAGCATCTGTCTGTCGGAGTTGTCGTTCTCAAAGTAGTATTCCCCTTCACGGTCTTCCCCACCATTCTCTGTGAAAGAGCCTGAAAACTTAGGAGTGTACTTAAGAGCCTCACGTTCTGTTAATGGTCTGCGGGAGTAAGAAACCTCCGCTCCAGGACCATGTCCTCCATTCTCTGCCATTGAGCTGTTGTTGCCACTGAAATGGGGACCGCGGCCCCTCCATGAAGAAATATCCCTCGAACCTCCGAAGTTTCGATTGTAGCCGTTTGCCGTGTTCAGTCTAGGGGGCAAAACACGGCCTCCAAAGCCCCTCATTCTGGCCTTTTCTCTGTTATCTGAGGCTGTCTGTTCATCAGTGTACACCTTGTTTGATCTCCAAGAGTCTCTATCTGCCTTACTAACATCACCAGACTCTGTGTACCCTTCTCCATTTTCTGTTCCCTTCTGCCTTCGCCTCTTGGGAAGTTCCTCATACTCTGATGCTTCGCTCAATGTCTCGCTGACATTTCGTCTACGAGGTTTGCCTCTCTGGAACTCCTCAACCTTCAAGAGATCTCTTGGTGGTCCTCGACCTCTAGCCGGCCTCTGAGTACCACCAGTGTTATTATAGGCTCCCCTAAGGTTATCCCCGCCTCGGCCACCACGAGTTCCACCTCGGGAGCTAAATTCCCTGAACCCTCGACTGCGGCCTCTACCTCCTCCTCTGGCTGAACTAAAAGCTTGTTCTTCGTCAATGAAAATCCAGTTGTTGCGGCGTGGGGCCTGAGGTTCCCGTTTTTTTTCCTGGCTTTCTCTAACTAATTGGTTCCGGCTGCTTACTGAGGTAGTTTCCTTAGGGAAGTCCTCACTGTGGGTGCTGAGAGGCTTGTCTGTTTTGCAAAGAGCTGGTGACTGGCGCCGTCTCTCTTCAGGCTGTTTCTCAACAACAGGTGATGCAGGACGCCTGTTATTAGTAGGCTGGTTGTCTTTCTTCAAATCATAAACATTAGTGAGGACTTCTTTCTCCAGACGATAGGGAACAGGCTTCTCTTCAGGCTCAGGTTTAGGTTTTTCATTCTCCTTATCATCCAGCTTGAGTGCCTTCAGAACTGGTTTCTTGATGGGCCCAGTTCTACGAATCAATGGCCGCCCACTAGTCTCAGATGCCTGATTAACACTATTGGTAGAACCAGCTTCAGGCCAGTGGTTCGGGGAACTGAGGCCCCCTCCATCCCTTTTCCAGCCCTCCTGGGATCCGTCTATGGTCTCATAAGAGTCAAGACCATCTTTCAGGTGTTTATCTCTTGTATCTTGCTTTGTGGCTTCATTCTTCTGACAGAGGTTTTGAGCAGTGGTGAGAAGGCCCGTGTCATGGTGTTTGCGTTCCTTATCAGAGTCTCGGCTACGGTAAGCGCTATGGGAAGGCTCATCATTGTTTGTCAAGCTCTGATTAGGTCCATCTTCAAAGGCGTCCCGCTGGGAAGGGGCAATATTTCCTCTACAAAAATAGGGAAAAATATTTTTTTTTTTTAATTCAATAATGATAAAAAATACAAACTTCATCAAAAGTTCTGAGTTAGGAAAATAACTCAACAGGCTTCCCATTATTTTTGTTTGTGCATTTTAAAGCTTTGTAGCTTTCCCTATTCTTATTTTCACTGTTCTCGATTCCCTCAGTCAACTCTTTAAAGGAAGTAACTAATTTCCAGGAATAAATGGGTGGATGGATGGAAGTATGCACTAAAAGCATGATGGCTGGATAGGGAAAACTTTTAGACAATGGGAAAAGTTTTTTGCCATTCTTAAAAATACTACAACCATGTGCCATAATTTCAGTGAGTATGTAAAATGATGATTATTTTAAGCTTATTTAATCATCAAAGCTGCTTAAGCATCAATAATTCCTCAGAACTTTATAGTTCTCACATTTTAATTTTAGGATTTGAACATTCAGGGATTTTTTTTTTTTTACCAACCTTTCCCCTGACAGATCACCATCTGAGCTTTCATTCTGTCTCTGATAGGGAGGAGTGAAGCTCCGCAATGGGTAGCCATCTTTGTTCCAAACTGGGTAAGGCTCAGTGGACGGGGCCCGTCTCTCTTGTAGGTTGGAATGGCATCCCTCGTCGGAGCTAGGACTGTTCAGGTGGTCTTGATGCACCATGGTTTTACCATACCTGATGAATAAAAAAGGTAATAAACGCATAAAAACACAAAAACATAAGCTTTGAAGGAATCCAACTGGAGTAACAAAACTTAAAAATAAAGTTGCCTTTTTGATGTTAGATCAACCTAAATGGCAGGTAATGTTCTTCTAAACTTCAATGTCTGATAGTGAATTTGTTGATGGAATTTTGTCTGGCTAAAGCACCACTTCACATTGACTTTTTTGATGTAAATCAACAACTTTAGTGTGAACCTGAAGTCTGAACACAAACCAGGGTAGAAGTCCACAGGAGAGCGTCCTTGTGTCATGCGTGGATCCATGAAAGTTGGCATCATCATCCAGCGGGGATCAAATCCAAGAACATGTGGGGGATAATACCCCCGCTGGGAATGACTTGAGCTTGAGGGGTGACCAGACTGCTGCCAATGCTGCATTTTGGGGGGTTGTTCCTACAAAGCGCCCAGATTAGAACAATTATGAAATGATGAACAAACTACCAGTAAATGACAAAGATTTTTCAGTTTGTCTTTTTCTCTAAAGAACAAAGGTCAACTTACCTGCTGCTGGTGTTGCTGTAGCTGCTTTTGAAAGCGCGGTGGAACAGGTTTGGAGGCTGGACGCCCACCATAGTCTTCCGAAGGTGAGGAAGGTTCTGGACAATCATCGTCACTGCTGCGATTATGCTCATCACGGTAGCTTTGGCCAACAAAGGAGTTGACAGGCAGACACTCACTACCTTCTGTACATAAAAAAACAAAAAATAAGAACATCCATCACCTTCTGTTAGCATTTTACGAAAATGTTTAAGATGGAATATTTCTCTGAAAGTTTGTTCTACCTTTTGTGGCGTACTGCCAGTTTTCATTATGGCCTTTATTGTGATCCCGGGTTGGAGAAAGTGGGACTTCTTTGCCCTCGACCTCCTTCGGGATGTCTTCCACCTTTGACGCAGGTCTTTCAGACTTTCCAAACTTCTCATCCAACTTTTTGAGTTTTTCAGCACAGGCAGCTAGTCTCTCTTCCCTAGCACGTCTCTCCTCCTCCTCTCGCCGTCTTCGGGCTCTTTCAACAGCCTCGGATACTTCAGGCGACATGTATTTCGCCCTAGCTGGTGCTTGACTCTGAGAACGCTGGTGATCGTCTGAGTCTGTTGCTGGGTCACTGTGGTTTTTCTGTTTAGCCCCATAAAGCAATTCAATATATAAATAAGACTGATAATATAGGCGTCACTGTTCAACACTTTTTCATTCATGCTTTTGAAATATCCACATTTAATAATTAGCATTATAAATGAGTCAATAGCAAACAATTATCTCTCAAGCTACAATAGAAAGGGACACATTTTTAAACTAAATAATCTCAGCCAGAGACCCTGGAAAGAGTTGGATCAAAGTGATTAAAGTTGTGCTTTACCTGACTGTCAGTAGACAAATATCTGCCAATGGGTTTCCTTAGAGGCTCGTGGTGGTGATGGGATGAATAATTTTCTTCTGCTCCCTCCTGAGAATAAGGTGCGTCTCCTGAGCTAAGAGAGGACTGGCAGTCTCGCTGGTTCTCCCTCTCCCACTCAGCCCTGCAAACATAAAGCAGGAATCCTTTTAGCTGAAGCCCATGACTGAATATCAGAATATAATGGGCAATAGAACAACATACCACATTTTATTTTTATCACTAGTAGAGTGTTCATCTTCATCGTCACTGAACTTGAGCTTCTCGCTGTAGTCAACCTCTTCATGAAGACCTAAAGAAAAAAGTAAATGCAATAAGGAAAACTGCTGTAAAACAAGAATTCACTGGAGTGCATCTAAACTAATCAATATTTAAACTCATTTACTCACTTCTCAGTTTATTAAAACCTGCAATTATAAATAATGCATTTACAACATAAAAGGCCTTTGCTACTTTTTTTAAACGTTAGCTTTTAAGTTTACTGCAACTTTCCCAAAAATTTAAAAAGGACAAGGAATAAACTTAAAGGAGGTGTTTAAGATCCATCTGTAGACCTTCAGCAAAAATCTTAACTTAATAAATTACAAAGTGTTGCTCAAACAATAAACATGATGCATTCACTAATTGATCGTATAAAAGAAAGTCAAAAAAAAAAAAAAAACGCACTCGCAAAAGTGGCTCTATGCTATTGCTGGGCGATATGACCAGAAATCAATATCACAATAAATTGGAAGGTTTACCTCAATAACGATAAATGCACGATAAATGCTCCAGCTCCTCTATCAGAAATAAAGGCATGTGCAGGAAATGCAACTTATGTATTTATAATTATCAAATAAATCACATTAAATACTACTCCAATTAAATATTAAAGTCTTGTACCCATTCAGGTTAAAACATTCAACAATGTCTCATTGAACAGGAGAAAAATGTTATTTCTCATGCAAACATTTTTGCACAAAGGTAATGGAGCTTTTTGCAAATCTTTGAACTCAACAGCGTGGCTGTGCTGTAGGTGATGGAGGTTGGATGTTTTTCTTTGGGTAGTCCCGGCAGTTTTAAGGCAAACTTTGCATTTCGTGTTCTTTAGCTCAAAATCTACGGCGTAATTTTGGTGCCACCAAACTGAGCGTGCAACAAGAACAATGTGCATTGTTTATTCTCGGAACCATTCTGCCTGCGCTTAACTCTGACAACATGCTCTTTACTTCTTCATCTCTGCTTTCGCTCGGCTCCAGAGGATTAACTGATGCAATTAATTTTGTTACGGCTGTGTTAGAAGCTTTTTCGCTGGACTTATCCGCCATTCTCTTTGCTTTAGCTTCTGACTGGATCGGTGGAGTCACGTGATTACACACATGCTGCAGTGTGTTAAGGGGGAAGAAAATACCAGCCACTAGCGCACATTGGCAAAACTGCTAAATTACACTTATTTCTTTTACAGATATGGGAAAATTATCGCCGGTTATCGTATCAGTATCACTATTATAAAAAATCCAGTTCATCGTCCAGCCTTACTCTATGCCATTAGAAAATAAGGGAAAAATACTGACCAGCCCAACCATCCTCACAATCGTTGTCCAGGTCATCCAGATCCTTCAGGTCCTCTGGATTAATGATGGCTGGACGCGATGGTCTCTCACTGGGCCTGCGGATGGGCTGAGAAGACACTCGAGGTGGAGCACGGACAAAGCGGTTCTCTCTTCTTAAATCTCCGCTGTAATCAAAGAGGAGAATAAAGAAACATCCCTTCCAATAATAAGTAGTAACATTTCAACAGTTATTAGCAAACTACTTACTTGACAAGCTCAGGTTTGGTAAAGCTTGGTCTAAAAGTGGGTTTGCTGTCAAATCGGGCTGGGGCTGCTGCAGTGGTTGTAACATTGTCAGGGGTTGTAGTTTCACGTGTCTCTTTAGCACACATCTGAAAATATCAAATAAAACACGCTGCATTAGACATCTAGCTATGGAGCAAGCTTTTGGTCATTGTTTTACCATGAAAGCCAATTAGTCGAGAGCAAACAAATACTTACAAATGCAGGCAACATGTCATGGTAGACAGCGTTTGACGTGTGGTGAAGCTGATACTGCAGGGCAGTAGGGACGGTTGGTCTGCGTACTGGCTGGGCAGGTCTGAGGGAAGGCTCCTTGGGCTCCAGGCTCGGTGACGGAGCGCTCACTGCACTAGAGGAAGAGGTGGTGCCGGTGGCAGAGGAAGGATGCGAGGAGGCTGGCGGAGAGCCAGTCTCAGCCAGGGCAGTGATCTTCCCCTCAGGATCTGCTGGGAGGCTGAGGGTCAGGGAGGAGGGCTGAAGGTTCCTGCCACCACCTTCCCTCCAACTCGTCACATCTTCAAAGCAGAAAAAACTAAGTTATTTAGGAAGCAAGAATAATACTTTCTGTAAAATAATACTTATCCTAAGTACAATGCTTTTCACCATAAAACATTTGGGAAAAAAATATGACATACCATCAGATTTTCAGTTTGTTAAAAATTTTCACATTGATGTGTAATAATTTATTTAAGACTGGAAAAAAAAAACTGAAAACAATCTAATTTGTTTTACACATTACTTAAAGGAGCAACAAAAACCTGCTGACGGTCATGTGATCACAATTGAGAACTTATGGAAACACATTTCAGATTCTTCTTATCTCTTTAAACCATCAGATGGTTTCACAGTATATTAGCTTGTGTAGGGATGTAAGAACGAACTGAACTCACTCTGGGGGCGGAGGCTTGGTCCGGGCCCATACGACGGATCGAAGCCGCTTCTTTCTTTGCCAGCTCTGTCCTGTTCTCCAGCTGCCTTCAGGGTGGGAAATTCCTCGTGAGAGAAGGGCTGAAGTCGGTTTAAGGCCCTTGAACCTGAAGTAGTTAAACAAACAAGTATGGTAACCAAATCTAGCGCGCTATATACTGAGAATAAGTGTAACAGGAAAGTAAATCACAGATCCTTAAGTACTGATTGTTCTAAACAGCCCTTTGGTCTGGACTTTAAAAGCAGACTTTATTTCTCTATTAGCTTTTTAATTCAAAATCACACTTTTTGCAAGTGGACTACCTCTTAATGTAAAGCCATGCACATGGAGGTCATTGCTTCTATTAATTAGAAATAATGGCGGGACAGAGTACAGACATGGAGATGAAGGAAAACTAGAGCCCTGCAAGCAGCACCTCTGTTCTGCAAATGTATGCCATTATTACAGTGGGACAAATAATGCTGGTGTCTAGAGGAGCTCAGTTCTCTAGATATAAGACTTTTAATTTCCAATTCTGGAGAATACATCCTAGTTCCATTGTTTGCCAGCAGAAATGTTTGCTAAGCAACAGAAAGCAGATCAGGTATGTTTTCCATACGATGTCCTTTACCAGGGTGGCTTACTAAGCCCAAAAAGATGCATGCTTTCTGTATGAGGATGGGATCAACGCGGGTTTGTATTAGACCTGCAGTGAACCGTGCCAGGAGCCGTTAGGAAGCAGGCAGAGGCCAGTTCAAAAAGTGGGCCTTGGTCCAGTTGTTGCTTGCTGGAACTTATTTACAACTTCACGAGAATGTTGGAGCGAAGTGGGGGACAAACACTGATCTGTTTAAAGCAGACCAAAAATCTTGCAGGTGTTTAAACAACATAAAGGATCAAATAAAGGGAGCTTGCTTACCATCTGGCTCTACTGCCTTTCCATTTAGCTGGGCCCATTGCTTTGGTCCACCTGTGTTTGTGTTCTGTGAAAAGGAATAAAGTTAAGTCTTGATGACTTTTGAGAGAAAATGATTGTCAAATCCTGGTAGTTCTAGTGTTAACTTTTTTTGATAAGGTTTATCCCAAACCTGGATATTACATTCTGCCAAAGTTAGCTATGTCCAAAAGAGAATCAGTTTTAAAGTGCAAATAAACTGCGAATTCATAAAATCATAAAAGCGCTTTTTAGCATTTTAACTATTCTAGCACCGCATCAAACTTTTTTACTTACATGGTTGTAAAATAATATGCATTCAGATGATTCAATGAGATGGAAGTACAAAAAATCCAGCTGATTATTATTCAGACTACATGTTACTGGAGAAACACGATAGGGATTTTAGGAATTTTCATAACTGGAAATCCAAAATATCCAAACTGCTAATTACAAGAGGAACTTGTTCTTAAAGTAAAACCTGAATTTATACTAGATCTGCAGTTACAATCAGTCCAAAAGGAAGAGAGAAGTTAAAATAGTTGGGAAGCATAACAAAACCAGCCTGACAGCTAAAGGTGCAGACACACACCTCCTGGCTGGTCACGGGTGCGGACTTCTGAAGATTGGAGACAGGCTTCTGTAAAGCCAGCTGCGGCTGCGACTCCGGCAGCAGAGGCGTAGATGCACTGGAACTGTAAGACAGAAGCCAGAAAACGCAGAGGATTTTTATTATTCAAAGCAAAAAGAAAAAAAGAGAAAGAGTTACAAGTACGGACATGGCCCGATGAACTACTAACAGGCGTTAACCAGAACAAGATTCATAGCCTCAGCTATTCAACTACTTCTCCTTTCACTGAGGACAGAGTACAGACAGAGACTAAGCTGAAGTAGAGCTGCATGTTTATCAAGAGCAATATATAATGCAGTATGATTTAACTCAGTAACAAGGATACCACACAAACAGAAGGAACTGCAAAGCAATGGCTGCATGAGAGACGATGTACACCAGACAGAGAGTCTGCACCCAGCAACAATGTCAACCAAAGTGCTCAGTGGTACCCAAGCGTCTACACAGAAACTTTTAGTTACAGTAAGTTTTCTCCATTTGAGGTGATCAAATATTCACGTTTTTTGGGGGAAGGTGCCAGAGCTGGGCGACTTTTCCCCTGGTGAAAACCACCGCAGTCATTTCTCCAAATTGAGTGTCTGATGAACCAGGGATTAATAAATGCATGTACACCGTTGTTACGTTAACCGTGTAGAAAGCATGCTCCCCTTTAGTCAAGTAGAAAATCTAAGCAAAGACCTAAGTGGCACAAGGTATTTCCGGCTCAGTTTACTCATATTTGATATGTGTAGAGCTGCAACTGACGATTATTTTGCAAATTGATTATTCCGTTGATTATTTTTTCAATTAATCGATTAATATTCAGATAGCCAAAGGTTCCTTAAAGATTTTTTTAGCAAATTAAACTAAAACTTTTCCACTTGAGGAATTCTGGATAGAGTATATTGACAGACGGAAAACGTTTTTATTTATCTGAAAAGCAAAATGTTTACACATGTGTATTATATATATATATATATATATATATATATATATAAATAAATGCATTTTTTTTCTTCAATTTTGGTACAATAACTGCTCTAAGTGGGTTGCTGTCAGCTAAAGACGTGTTTTAGAGTCTCTACACTCCAGTTAATGATTAATCAATTACTAAATTAGTTGACGATTATTTCAATAATCGATTAATCTCAATTAATTGTTTCAGCACTAGACATGTTTTAATATAAATAATAAAGCTAACCACAGGAAAATAAAGGAATCAGTGTTGGAGGAATTGTAAAAGAGGCAAGAATGCATGAACAGATATATATTAGGAGGAAGAGGTGATCGGCTTGTTAAATGTGCTTTTCACCTGTGGAGCTTGTTTTTTTTTTTTAACAAGTACATTTTTTACAGGAATCTGTGGACTTTCTTGGCAGTTCTAGAGTTTTTATATTGTATTTTGGGTTATACTGTACCGACGAGATATAAGAAAAGTATAGAGATATAAGTCGACCATATTATCCAACCCCAATTGAAGCTAATTTTTCAACTGGCATTGGAGAAAAGGAATTACCTAAACAGTTATAAAAAAAAAGTGTCAGTCATACAATCAGAGTGCCATTCAAAATAGATTTAGAGAAGTGTTAGAGAAGAGAAAAAAAGCTATGCATGTCATTTGCTTGACTTTTTAATTTAATGTGCATGCAACATTTTCACCTGTACCTCTTTTGATCGGTTTGTTCCTGCTTGTTCGCCCATCCTGAACCGTCTTTGGGCACTATAATCACGTTGGGATCGTTTCCTTTGTTTTCAGATTTCAGGCTAGGCAGGTGAGCGGGTGGGGGCATGCGCCGGGCTGTGGCCACTTTGCCAAGACTCTGCAAGCCATGTCGTGTAACTACTGGGAGACAAAGCAGCACCAGATTAAGACAAGTCAAAAAAGAACTATGATTACAGTTTAATTTAGAGCATTAGGAGAGCGCAAAAAACATGGACACAGAACCTACCTGTATTTTTCTGAGATTCTATTGATTTTCCCTTGTACTTGTCAAATAGGCTGAGTGAGGAATACTTGCTTTTCCCATCCTTGGACTTGGTTAATTGCCCCAAACGATCGGACATTTCGATGTAATGTCATCGAGTATGAAAATTTTTCTTTGCGCCTCTTCCCAGTGCCTTCTGATTCTGCAAAGAAAAGAAATGTTAATTACGTAGGAAAGTTTCAATAACATCCTTTTTTTGCAGGATATAATCTATTTTAAAACTCATGTTCTCATAAACCTTCTAAAGGAAAAATCCATCAAAAAAAGATATACGATCCCTGATATATGATTCCAATTTTTTTAGGCTAATTTTGTTTTCTCTTCCTTCATTTACATGATTAAAATGACACACTAACATCTTATGTTACACAAGAGTACAACAAAAGTTAACATTTATCAACAAATCAAGTAAAACTACCGGTACATTGGGTGCACACAACCCATGTACGGAGGCCTTATGCTAAGTTCACAGCACAACGGAGGGACATGAGGGCCAAAAAGAGCGGAGATCCAGGTGAAAAAATGATTCCAGTGTTTTCTCGCACCTCGCTCTTCTAGCGGGTCAAACTTCACAAGTTGTTTTCCGCAATTTCGGTCATGAAAACAAAACAAGCCGGCCTCCTGTCAGCGGCACTGTCTGCGGTCAGCTACAATTTGGGAGAGGTGCAGCGGAGCGTCTGCGGAGGGGGCGGAGACGTCTGGAGCCGAGGTATTTCATTGCACTGATATTGTGCAGTATTGTATTTTTTGATGCAAGGCCTTGCAGAATCTATAGCGCAGGGGTATTATTATTTTTAGTGAATGAGGTTTTAATAGGAATAAGTGGATGCAACTTCTCTACTTCTGTTATTTTCTGTAGTTTCTCAAAAAAAATAAAAAATGCATAATGATATTACAGCTTTCATTGATTTATTTCAAATTTGAAACATTGTCTAGCCTGTAAGGTGTAAAAAAAAATAAATAAACCAATTAATCGAATCGTGGTGTATTCTTGAGTATCGAAAATAATCCAATCGTTGGGTCAGGAAATCGACACTGAATCGAATCGCCATGATGGGTATGATTTACACCCATAGCATTAACCATTGACTTTGCATGTAAACTAGCTGCTCGCGGTCTAAACGTAGCATTAGTCCTAGACGCAGCCAACCCAGGTTCGAATCAGACCTGTGGTCCTTTGCACAGGTGGTCCTCTGCCCCTCTTTCATACCCCATTTCCTGTCAGTCTACTGTCCATAAAAATTAGCCACTAGTGCCATAAAAAAAAAAAAAAAAAATACAATTAAAAAATACGGGTGCACAAATTGATTGGCCTGCTGATTTATCAACCTCGATATCCTTAATTTTGGCAGATGGGTGATCGGACGTCACTTAAATGTGAAAGCATCTTTTCCACAGATATCCTCTACAGAGACAATTTAACCAGAAAGGAACTAATTAGTGCCTTTATGCTGGTAATTAAAAACATACTTGTATTGATTAAAATCTGAAATGGCATCTCAGGCTTTTTAAAAGATCGGTAATCGACTAGAAATCTGTAATCAGTGCACCTGTAAATAAAAACTTCAACAATGTATAGCAAAGAAGGGAGTGTCAATGCATGGACCGAACATAATGCTTCTAAATGGACCAACGAATTGCCACAAAATACAAGAAACCAGCCTAAAATGTCGTCCAGGCGATGTATCAATCTTCTAAACCAAAGAGCCATTTTCAAAAACGTGATCCCTATTTTTAGTAGGGATGCACGATATTGGGATTTTGGCCGATATCCGATATTTTAAAACTCATGTAGCCGATAACCGATATCAATACTGATGTTAAAGCTGGACAAAAATAAGTAGTCATTGAAAATAGCAGTTTTGTTATCCATTTCTGACACTTTGAAAAATATACTCAAATATATTTTCATATGCTGATATCAAATTGATTTTTAAAAACGTGGTATCAATCTATTTTACTTTCAAAATCTTGTGAAATTTCATCGTTCTGTTACAAACTCGTGATATTTTGCAAATTCTTGAGAGATTTTGTTAGTAAAATAGATCGATACCGAGTCAATATATCAACATATAAAAATATGGCAAAATTTCGTGAATTTTCGGGGGATTTCGTAGCATAACGATGACATATAGCAATATTTCATTAGTAAAAGAGATTGATATGTGTTTTTAAATGGCAATATATCAGCATATGAAGATTTTTCCCTCGTCTTTAGAAGTTTTTAAGTCTGTAAAAAAGAAGTGTTTGAAGAAGAAGAAGAAGTAGTATTTTTTTTTAGACTTTAGAAACTCAGAAGCTGATCAAATATCGGGTTAAATATCGGTGGGGTGGACGATGTCCGATATTCAGTTTTAAGGCCGATACAGGCCGATACTGATAGGGGGCCGATTATATCGTGCATCCCTAATTTTTAGCACTCAGGACATCACATCTAAAATGTCTGAGGCATGTGGGACACACAGCTGAATTTGGATTACCGCCATTTTGGAGAAACTAGTACTTGAAGAGAAAAAAGTGAAAACAAGTCTTCACTCACTGGCCAACAGAAGATCATGAAAGCACATTTCTAGAATTTACTTTAAGATTTCTTTAACCCTAACATACCCACAAGATGAGCCTCACGCTAGCAATGCATACGGCCGTACACTGTCTGCTTTTAATAATCTGGTGCCTACAGTTTGTACCGCATACATGAAAATCACTAACATTTACTTCCAGCCACCAAGAACAGTAGGGGAAAAACCGGGCCTGAGGCAGCTGCTGCTGGGGATTCCCAGTGACAGCGCCCTGCCGGTGTGTGGGGTCCGTATAGCTGTGACAGCAAAATAATATTGGCAGGAGCATAATCTTGATGGACTAACTGCACAGACAACTTCTGAGGTGGACTTTCTTGCTTAAAAAACATATTCAAGTTACTTTTTATCCACTTATAAAAGCAAATATAGCGAAGCTACAATAAACACAGGAGCAGCACAGCCATTAGACGCCTCTGTAACAAGACACATCTGGTTACTGGACACGCCTCAGGAGCAGGCACACCCGACCTCAATGTGTACATGCATAAAAAAATTAAGCAGCAGGCGATTTTTTGCTGCTCAAATCGTGGTATGAGCGTAGCATTACAGTCTGATTATTTGAATTAACCTATAAAATATAATATTGTATCTAAAATGATGCCACGTCTTCTTTATGAAATTTCCACCTCTAGTCAAGCACAATACTTCCCATAATCAGGACAAAAGTATTGTAACAAAGATAAAAACTTAGCTGGATTCCACCACAAAATGCAGGAAATAGCATCTCAGAGAGTTTAAATTTCAACCTTTTCCGGACGGCGCGCAAAGCCTAAAGATATGATACAGTGATATACCAATGTTTACAAGCTATGAAATATTCCTAGCTAAAAGCCTGACAAGACTTAAAAGTCCCAATTCGTTCAAATAGTTCATGGATTTAATCATAGGTAGTTTATGCTATGTCTTTTTTATGCTTACATAGAATTAAATGGAAATTCCCAGCCTTTGTGATCTTATATGAAAATAATGTTTAAACCAAGTGTGGCACAGACACTTTGGAAATGGAAAAATGATTCATTTACATCGTAAAGAGCAGAACAAATGCCAAAAAGGCACCCAGACCGAAAACCTTTCGAAACTACCAGAATGGAATCCCACAACAAAACAAGAGCAGGAACATTGAGGCAATAAGGCTGAACGATAATGCAAATATCCTAGGGCTGGGCGATAATTCAATAACGATATACATCGATCAATAGACGTGTGGCGCAATAGAAAAAAAGAGGGTCGATAAAAGTTCGATAAAAAAGAAACGCAGTTTTCCTTCCTTCTCATTGTAGCCTAGCATGTAGGTTTATGCTAGTCACTGCTTCCTCCCAACCAATCACAATCGCGGACCCAGGCACGCCGTCACCAAGCGCCGCCCTCTCAAACCACAACACAGAGCACATGAAGATGTCGCAGCAAGGAGAGGCGGAGGAAATTGTTTCAAAGAAGGGTTTTTGTAGTTCGGCAGTCTGGCAGTATTTCGGTCATGGCAAGTCGGACCAAAAACAAACCACAGTCATCTGTAAAATGTGTCGGGAACCAGTGAAAACGAAGTCTGATAACACAACCAACTTTTTATTTTTTTTTTATCATCTCAGCCGCTCACACCCGCAGGAGTACGAGCTGTGTAGGCCCCGGCGCGGCTCTCCTCCGAGGAATCTTCAGAAATTTCGGGAAAATATATATATATATTTTCAGTTCTGGGCAGTTTCCCACGTAGTTCTAACAATTGAGAGAAAAATGCTGAGGGGCCAGAAACTTCAAAGTAATAACTCAGGTTAAAGCAGGAAACGGCGGCGGTGGGGGAGCATTTATTTATTTGTTATATTTATTTTGGTCACTTTTCTGGTCACTTTAGTTTATTCTTTGTCAGTATTTAATAACATAACCCAGGTCTCTTAAGTTATTTTTCTTTAAAATAATTCTGTTATGGTTAAAAAAGTTTGTTAAATAAAGATTTAATTCGAAGTCTGTGTTTGTGTTTTTTATTAAAATTAAATCATTTAGCAATATTATAAAAAGTCCAGGGAGAGCTGCACATAAAATATGGTTTCAAATCTTTTCAATAATTATCGATATCGATCAATATGCATTTTTTTTTATCGATAAGCTTTTTTTCTATATCGCCCAGCCCTAAAATATCCCATCGCAATATCGGTGTGTGAAACATTCATACCACAAAGAAATGTGGGAGTGCTAATACTATTGTCTAAAATATTCCACGTCATGACCTTAGATCCAACATGTTTATAAAATGCTTAGAAAGTTGGAAAGTGTCTCGTGACAGAAGATGCTCCGATCAGACAAAAATCACATAGTACAAAATTAAACAGTTAATTTAGAAACACAAGAAAGGAGAAAATACATATTTATCACAACTGATGTCATCATGACCATATTTACTGATATTACCAATTTAAGATGTTCTAAGATGCATCCTTAACTATAAATAGCAGAAGATAATAAGACTAGGCTTGGAAAATTAAGTGTATTTTAAAACGTTAATTGTAGACTGTTCAAGTCTCTACTTGAAAAGCTAGAAAATGTTACTAAAAAACAATCTCTGTCTGCAGTCTAAAATAATTAACATTTTGACTTTTGATACTTATTGCATTAGTAAAGATCAGGGGTGAGACAGAGCACACAGCGATGTGTCAAGAGCCGCAAAACACCAAGAAATAGCCATTGCATTATCGCAATCCAATACCTTGGATTTAAAGTTTGCATGCAAACACATATGGAACAGTCTACAACTGACTGTTGCCCAAGGAGGTACACATATTTTTAGCGTCCAGGATACTAAAGCATTCAGAAAATAGTGGGGAAATTGCAATGATGGAGAAACAGGTACAGAAAACAATAGAGGAAAATGGGGGTCAAATGTAATCAACACAGTTATGCCAGACTTTGGTAATAATATTGTTAGAAAAATGTTTTCCTGAAAATGTGCAGCCCCAGATGCATAAATAGGATCCATCTTAATTGAACTGTAAATAAAAATAAATGTATAAATAAAACAAAATCAATTGTGTCATACATTTGGGATCACCTGAAAGAAAAATACAAATCAGTGGACATAACACAAGCTAATAATGGGAAGCAGCTATGAAATAATTTTACACTCAGTTATCAAACCAACCGTGAAAACAAGTATTTTATATATGTATATTACAAGTGTATTTCAATTTATCACCAAACAAATTATATGCATCCACAAATAATAAAGTCTTTATAAAATTGTTGCAATTCCCACAAAACTAATGTAGGATCAAACGATATTATGGGCAATAATGTGCAGCATTTCATCTTCCCAAGCATATTCTAATTTTGTTGATACGATGTTAAATCAATAATATTGTACCTAAAGTAAATAAACAAGTGTTTTTATACATACATCCTTCACTTTGACATGTTTTGAGACATGATATTTGTTTCAACTGAGACCAATTTAACATTCAAATGAGCTTCAAACAATAAGAGTAAAAGCAGCTTTTTGTCTTCCAATGACACTAAACAACACAGATCCACAGCTGTCACGCTTATCTAAACAGTCGAAGCATCTAAAAGAAGAGTGAGTTCCATACTAGATATAATTAAAATAACTGTATTTGACAATAAAACTACAGATAAATGATAAATAAATGGGATTTATTTTTCGCCCAGACAAAAAAACCTTTTCAAATCATCCTAACATAACGGTAAAGTGCCATTTAATACGAGTGAAGGGGAGGCCAATCGTGATTAAACTCCGCATAGGCGTTTACACTGACTCCTTAAACTGTCTGAATTCATCCATAAACATATCTCCACTTTTATATTGGCAACAATAGTTGCAACTATTTCTGCAACGTTACTGGTAAAGAAAATTTGTTTTACAATATAAACCCCACAACTGTCTAATTACCAGCTAGCAGCTGCTTCGTATTTGTTAGCTAGCAGCTTGACCACTAACCCTTTTGGTTAAAACAATTATAAACCATTTAATTTTACAATCCTTTAAACTAAAAACAGAATATATTACAATGTGATAAATTAAATACATTCCGGTAAAGCGCAATGTATCGTCTTTTAAATTCCTTTACTGACAGTTAGCTTTAATGCTAAAGCTAGCATTTAAGTCTGACAACAAATATTCAGCAGAAAAATACTAAGTTTTTCCTCCAAGTGTGACAAATAACGATTTATAACAAAAATAAGAATTGCAAAATTAAAATAAGAGGGTAAATGCATATCGAAAAAAGGCTATTTTAAAGTCATAATTTGAACAATGTTAGCAGCTAACCTTGGGTATGCTAAATCAGAAGCGCTATGTAAACATCAAATGCTAACGGTTTAATGTCGCCTGTGACTTTTACTAGTAAGTTTGATCCATGTTGTAGTTACTTGAAATGCTTCATTGCATTCATTTTTTTGTATGTAGACCAAACAAACAGAGATTTGGCTTCAGCAAACTCCCTTCGACAGTCGAAGCTTGTTGGAAAACTAGCATAACGAAATCCCGTTAAAGTTCTAGCGTACAGCTGAATAAAACAAGCCCACACAGGCCAGAGGTTTGACAGTGCACTTCACTTCGAAAACATTTAATTTAAAATGCCTTCTCAGCTTGAATCACTATGAAGCCCTTGTATGCAGTAATAATTTTCAACCTTTACTTGGCTTTTTAAACGGGCAATAGACAGCGACGGGAATGTAGGACAAGGCGATTAAAAATGGCTGCTGCACAGAACAAAGCAACCATAAAACTGAGCAGCCCTGAAAAATGACAAAGCCGTCAATATGATCCAAGTTTGCATTTAGGACTCACCGAATTTAACAATTTATGAATGTCTTCTGCTCAGTGACACTAATATAGTTCCACAAAATGTTGTATAATCGGAGGATGGATTGCGATTGTAGAGCTCAATCTTCATAGGTTGAACCGATCGCAGAGTTGTTGCTGGGGTCCTACCCGGCCTGAGAATGAAGAACAGCGCAAGCTGGATCGACTCGGCTGTGATCCGCATACGTAACCAGAGCGAGTGTAGCCATTGCCACCTGCTGGTCAATTTTAATCATTACACAAACAATCCACTTGAATTCTTCAGAATTAACACTTAGACAGATTTTATTTTTGTCATGTTGTACATACAAGTGTATACAAAAAGAAATGACGTGAAGTACAGCTCTCTAGACTTTTTCATTTTTTTAAGTGCAGCCTTGATAAAGGTAAGCAGCAGAGATAAAAACACTGTGATGAAAAAAGTTATGTAAACATATGACTGCATAATTACAGTTCCAACATGCAGTTTCTTTTTTTTTAAATTATAACCCATTTTACATAATATTCACCAGTCTAATGGCAGTGGGGAAGAAACTGTTCTGTAATCTGCAGGACCTGCATCCAATGCTTCGAAGCCTCTTCCCAGAGGGCACTAGGGAGAACAGTCCCATGTTGGGGGTTTGAGGGGCCATTTATGATGTTACGGGCTCAGGACACGCAGTGCTGGGCTGAAATGTCTTTAATGGAGGGAAGAGGAGCCCCAATGATCCTCTCACATCTCTTCTCACCTTCTTCCAGTCTGAGGTGCTGCAGCCTCCACACCACACAGAGACAGCTGGTCAGAACCCTCTCTGTGGTGCTTCTGTAGAATTTTTAAATGTCCTGAAATTGAAACTTTATACTTAATCAAATTATAAAATATGTTGTGAAAACATCTTTTATTACATTAAGACCCGCAAGTGGTCAATTTTAAGAGCAACACATGAAACAAACCTATGCTGATTTTTATAAAGAAAAAAAATACAATCTTCGAATTTCCTTCAAAGATTTTTGCTTATTCAATTAAATCAATTTGAAAGAGAAAACCCATAATAATTTATTACAGAGAGAGATCTATAGCTGAATATGACATAATAATGCTAAAATTTATCAGAAGAACAGAGCTGAATTAAATATTAATTCAATAATACAAGATTTAAAATGCAGAAATGTTGTTTTAGGCCTTGCTATGCCTGGCATAATGAAGAGGAGGACTACTAACTAACTAAAGCTGAGGTAACTCCATGTTGTCTCTGTTTGGTTTTATTCAAGTGTGTTAATTATTTTAATTAATCATCATCAAAATTTTCTTCAGCAGCAATGGTAATATCCATCATGACTAACTCTTGTTCAAACATGAAAAAGTCAGATTCCTTGCTACCCGTGTTCAGTGTAAATGCTCAAGAGTCTTTGTATGTTTTTCAAATTTTAATGTTATTGATCCAAAAGCGCTTAACTCGACTTCTTTTCTGCCAGAGTTCTTTTGTATTTTGTGGTATTCTACAGTTAAAATACATTTTCACAACCCAGTCGCATTTTAGCTGCCATTCTATCGATGTCTTTGGCAAAAAAACAAAAAAAACAAAAAAAAAACAAATAGTATTAAACAAGTGGAGAACATTTTTTATGAAGCAAACTTTGTGTTCTCAGTACTTCTATTCTGAAGCATTGATCAAAGCTAAACTATTTTAGCACACTATTTAGAGACAATGCTACATCACTAGAAACTGTTTGTCAGAACATTAGATTTCTATTATCCAAAACAGACAAAAAAATCCCTCTGATCATGTTCTTAACAAAGAAGAGATGATGCAACTGCAATCATGAAGCTGTAAAATGTGGGACTTGCATTTTGTCTTTTCCAATATTTTATAAATATTTTTTTGCCATATTGGGTATAGAAACCTCTATTACAAAATATTCAGATGCTCCTTTTGCCCAGTATGTATTTGGTTGTTTTTTTTTCTCTCATAAAAATACAATTAATCACAAACACAACTACTTCAGGGTGTCCATTCAGTCTCCTCCAGGGGGAGCTCTCCTCTTACCAGCTGAGTGGTCATTTAACCAGAACCTAGGTTTGGTTGTTAGAAAAAACAGCTGTTGTATCTTTATGGATGATTTATGTAATGGTTTTGAAGACTGTTGGAAAAATGTTTTAAGATTAACCAGAAAAAACATGCACTGAGTTGCAGTTATTTAAAAACGCAAAGGTATGAGGCACCCAAAGGTTATTGTGTCTAATCCTACCTTAATCTTTCTCAAAACAAGCATGAAGACACAACAGAAGAACCTATCAGGGTCTTCGGACGCTCACTGCATGCAACAATATTGTGGTTACAGATATAAGAGCAACCTGAAAGCCTTGATTTAGGAACTAATAAATTAAACTACTCTCACAGGTGTGGAGGGTTGTTTTCCTTGACAAGCTTATGCTCTTTCTATGCTATAATTGGAATAAATGTTTATTTTGGTTTAACTGGAAAGTTTACTTGACTTGAAATAGTGTGGGTCCACAAGATCTTTTTTGAAAACATCATTAGAAAATGTCAACTTGCATCTTTTACACCTTTTCCACATTCACTGTGTTTTATCATGATACATTTGACCATATTTTTGTTGTATACCTACAAAAAGTAAGATGTTATTCTAATTTTGTAGGAAACTAAGAAATGCCACCATTTTTCACAGCAAACATTTCAGTCAGTCGAATAAGCAGCTTCAGTTCCTCCTTATGACTGTGTTATAGACCACAACCCATTGCACTGGTGTTGCTTCCTGTCATAAATTGAATTGTAAGGTCATTCATATTTATAGCTGTTCTACGCTTAAGAATGTGAGATGATGCAGGTCTCTAACCGAACTTTTTTTTTAAAGGTCTGAAATATTATTTATGTACAAATAAACTGAAACTCAGTGCACTGATAGGTAATTAGCTTAGTTTTATATGGAAGGACACCCTGCTCTTTATGCATCTCAGGGGTTACTAAACCAATCCCACAATTTTAACATGGATAAGCATTCAGCTGCCAAACATGAAAAAGATAACAGAAAGTGTGAAAATATATTTTTTTTTAACCATACAATGTTTCCCTTCTACTTTTCAGTATTATTTTACTTCTTTTTGTTACTCCAGCAAACATATTTCCGATACTATGATTACTTTTAGGAGGTACCGCATCATCTGATGTGCACCTCTTTATTTTTGCTGACTGTTTTAAGCTTTAAAAATGTTTTAGAGTTCCAATAAGACTTATGTAAAATTCCCATTTATATATATTTTTTCTTCAGGATGAGTAAATCATGGTATTATGAACACATCTAAGAAAACTTGAGTCATGATCAATTCTACATGCATAAATATTTGAGTCATTGTCAATTTCTTGTCACAGGATTGATAAAACACAGCATTGCAACTGTATATCTGGTTTTATTATTGAGATGCAGCAATAAAGTGTAAACATCATACACAGACCTCTGTACAGAACAAAGTAGGTAATGTACACTGCATTTTGTTTATCTAAAAAAAAAGGTCCACCCAAATGTAAAAAAAACAAACAAACAAAAAACAACTCTTAAACCATAATTTCATTGTGACAGACAGCCTTTAATGATAAAAATGAAAAACAATTTCTAAGGTTTATACTTTACCCTAAACTATTAGAAAGTATTTCATTCTCTTTGATGAGTGTGCAAGAAAGACCTAATTCAGCTGCATTGAAAAGGTTTAGGGCACAAATGTACAGTTTAAATTACAAAAAGGAAAAAAAGAAAACCAGAAATATGCAAATATTATAGCAATGTCAAATAAGAAGCTAACTAATATGTAATATATCCATATAGATGTCACACTAAATGAAGAAATATGAATAAAGATACTACAACAAAACTGATCACATGGTGCCAAAAACAAACAATCAAGGGAATCAAATAGGAAATTAAGAGATAGAGCCAGAATAAATGGAGGAAATCAACAACCAGAAGCTTCACAAAGAAAATAGATTACAGGTTAGATTACATATGAAAAGTACCATCTGCTATAGAGTCGTTAAAACTTAGAGATAGAAACTGATTTTTTTTATTTTAGTCATTACTTTTTGATGGAAATAATGAATAAAAATGTGTTAGACTAGAATTTCTAGTTCTGAAAGCCCCAAGGACCTGTGTGAATTTTTTGCTCGTTGCATGCAAGTCAGCATCTGCATCCATGTGTTAAAACTTCCCTATCTGCAAAAATAGCTCCTCAGATCAAAATTTGCAATATTGCACAGTTAGTATCAGTTGTAATATCATGTAAGACAAGCAAAGCTCAATAAAAAGGACTCCAGCTGAATGTACTTATGGAAATAAGAGTCTGACAGGTGTTGGAGGACAGCCACACAGTCTCCATCAGACTGAAGTGAAACATCCCCAAGGCAAAACCACACACCATATCTGTTAGGTGGTGTTTACCCAAAAGCACTCGAGACATGCCAACCAGGAAGGCCCACAGCACCAGAAGTATGCGCAGGGGCACAGCAAGGACCAGGTGAGACAGCAGGAATTTGGAGACCATGGCAGCTCGACTGGCATGAGCGGCAGGGAAAGAGTACACGTCCATAGCTACACAGTCCAGGAAGCCTGGCGTCATCTCCCATGGTCCTCTGCGCTTCACCAGTCTCTGGACTCCAGCAACCGTCATGAGATCAAGAATGAGGGCTGTAAGAAAATTTAGAACCAGAATAAGTGATATTCTCAAACTTATCAGGATAAAAATGTTTTAAAGATCTGCTTTGTAGAAATGTGCACACAACTTCAGATAAACATCACAAACAAAAACTGGAACAAAAACAAATATTCGTTTCAGTATGTTTGAAAATAAAAGCAGATAATATTCTTAGTTGAAAATAAACAGGTTAGAATAAATGTTTACTGAAACCGGAACATCGCGTGTGCACCCCCGATGAACAGCGCCAGCCCAACCTGCAACAAAAGTAAGCTAGCGATTGTGTATGTGTGTGTGTGTGCGCATGCTGACACGGACTTATAGCTAAGTCCCGGCTGATGACGGCTCCTCTGTCACACCACCCCTCTCCTCTCCAAGGTTGGCGAAGTTCGGCAACCTAGAAAGAAAGTCTGCCACTTTACTGAGTCTGCTACTTCTATGACAGATGTTAAATTTGTAAGGTTGCAAGGACGTATA